AGACAGAGTCAGAAATAGCCAAGGTCAGGGATATAGAAGTATGGATAAACTAAATAACAAACTGTCAAGGTCAGAAACAAGCTAGGTCAGGATGCCAGAATTACACAAAGTCAAATACAAACGGAAGTCAATATCAGGATATATTAAGAAAAAACTTACTATGACCACTAACGTGTATCAAGGCAGAAACCATGATAGGGCAATAAACAAAGACCCAAATTAACTTTATATAGGCTAACACACTTTCTGATTGGTCCACATCATCTCTGTGACTCCAAATTGATTGACTATGGGGTTGCCTTAATGACGTGGTCACTTTAAGGGCGGGCGTGTCACATTTTTTGAATAGGTAAAAGACTCGCCATTCAGGTGTGCAGGGAAGATGCAAGATGTTACAGGGAATAAAACAGCTAGGAGGATTTCAGTCTGAGCGAAACAGCAGAGAGAGCTGTTTGCTGGATTTAATGGTTAGCTACGTGGCCTGAACAGAGAATTATTAGGAGGATTCTGAGGAATTTAAGGGGCAGCTGCCTAAGGCTGTAGTTATTATTATTATTGGTATTTATATAGTGCCAGCTTATTCTACAGCGCTTTACAATAAGAGGGGAATTTACCAATTTAGACAATAACGAAATGTAAAAGGAACAATAGGTAGTTGAGGACCCTGCTCAAACGAGCTTACAGTCTAGAGGAAGTGGGATATATTAAAACACAATAGGAAGAGTATTGAGAGAGACAGCAAATAGACGTGGTGGGGAAGTAGCAGAACTGGAGGTGAGAGTGGAGAGTGGGCCATTAGGAGAGTAGGAGGAAGTATTGAGAGATACAAGTTACTCTTGGAGGCCATAAGCAATCCTGAAAAGATGGGTTTTGAGGGACTTCTTAAAGGATTGAAGACAAGGGGAGAGTCGGACAAGGGTAGGCAGGCTGTTCCAAAGGAAAGGAGCCACCCGTGAGAAGTCTTGCAGGCGTGAATTTGCGGTAAGGGTGCGAGCAGCAGACCGGAGAAGGTCACCAGTTTAGCGGAGAGACCGAGAGGGGGCATACCTATGAATCAGTGAAGAAATGTAAGAGGGGCTAGAGTTGATTAACGATTTATAGGTAAGGGTTAGTATTTTAAATTAACACCTGTAGGGTACAGGAAGCCAGTGCAAGAGGAGCGACAGGAGAGAAAGGTCAGCCTGGCAGCAGCATTCATCACAGATTGTAGGGGGTCAGTGCGGCTTCTGGAGAGACTAATTAGGAGAGAATAACAGTAATCCATGCGAGGGATTACTAGAGCATGAACAAGCTCCTTGGTACCATCTTGTGTAAGACAGGGGCATATGCGGGCAATGTTTTTAAGCTGGAATCGACAGGCTTTAGCAACAGACTGGACATGAGGTTCAAAGGTGAGGCCAGGATCAAAAATGACACCAAGACAGCGAGTTTGAAAGGATGGGGCAAGGCAGGTACCATCAACCTGCAGGGAGAGTGAAGGAGGAGGATCAGTGTTATGAGGAGGAAAAATAAGAAACTCAGTTTTAGAGAGAGTGAGTTTCAGAAAGCGGGAGGACATCTAATCAGAGATAGAAGAAAGGCAATTTGTGAGCAGGGGAGAGGTCAGGGGAGGAGAGGTATATCTGGGTGTCATCGGTATACAGGTGGTAGTGGAATCCAAATTAATTAATGAGTTTGCCAAGAGAGGCAGTATATAGAGAGAACAAAAGGGGACCAAGAACTGAACCTTGAGGGACAAAGAGAGGAGGTGTCGTTGGAAAAAGAGACATGGAAGGAGCATTGGGAGAGATAGAAGGAAAACCATGAGAGGGCTGTCACAGAGACCAAGAGATTGAAGAGTTCAATTGGTTCACTTCCCGACAGATGTATGTAGTATTCCTGCTGTCCAACATACCTTCCTGTCTTCCACGACACACTAATGGCAGTCCATGGTGTCTGGGTATGGAGGTAGGGGAGGTCCAAACTTTGCACATTGAGCTAGTGGTCACCAACAAAGCTGCTAACATGGTCAAAGCTCTGCAAGACTATTCCTTCCTAGGTGGGCACTGTTACACATATCCTACAACTTGTAGTGAAGGTTGCAATTCCCAAAGGCAACACAACGTGGCAACCATCCTTGGCCTTTGCAGAAGGCAGGGCTGTGTCATAAGTTGTTCACTCACTTTCTCCTTAAATTAATTTTTTTTTTAATTCCCTTTTTAAATTAAAATTACTCTTGCTGCTGCTCCTCTTTTTGTCATGTATACAAAAGATTGCAAAAGAAAAATGTCATTTTAAAACTAATTTCACTCACTTCATATTTCTTAATACAGATTTGAAATTATGACAACTCACAATTGGCATAGCAAACATGCCCAATATTGCTTGCCATTAGGCTTTTATAGCCTTTTATAGACTAGTAAAATCTCTAGTGGCAGTCATTCAGACGTCCTGTGTTAGTACTGCACAGTGTGCAGCACTGGTGTTCAGCATCTCCACTCATAGCAGGGAGACACTGAACATTCCTCATTGAGATGCATTGATTCAATGCATTTCTATGAGGAGATGCTGATTGGTGCAGCTCAGCGTTTTGCCCTGCATGCGCAATAGTTTCCCAATTTTATGTATGAGGGGAGGCTTATTCTGCATCTGTGTGCAGTGTGGGTTGCTTCCCTGAGGTCCAGTTAGGATCAGGATGACCAGGTACAGGTCAAGGGCAGGAGCTGCAATAGCTGCTGCGGGCTGCTCTACTCCAGTGCAGATTGCCATTCACAGATGCTCGGAGGAATTTTACACTTCCTGTAAGTGCTGCAATGATTAAATTGAGGATTGCCCCTCACCACCTGCAATCACCACTTGGTTTGCACTAGCAGACACCTGAAGTCCCACTGGGAGGCCTGATAGACCAAAGCCTGTTTGACTCTGCCTTGAGTGCCGTGCAAAGGCACCTCGAGTGCCATGCATGGCAGAAGTTCCATAGGTTGATGATCCCTGGTCTTGGACACGTCTAGTGGCAGTCACTCAGATGGCCACTAGAAGTGCTTCTTGCTCAGTCAGTGCTGCTGATTCAATTCAGTGCTGCTATGAAGAGATGCTGATTGGCACAGTGCAGCATTTTGCTGTGCATGAGCAATAGCCTCCCAATGCTTTCCTATGGGAAAGCACTGGATTTGTTGAGTTAATCAAGTTTGGCACTGGCACTGGAAAAAGGTGAGTAAAATCATCTTTTACTTTTCTTTGGGAGGAGGGAGGGGGGCTAAATATCACTATAGTGTGCATTTAACTATGCATGCTCCCTAGTGGTAAATATTCAAGCATAATAGTCATTTTCCATTGCTCATTGCCAAACTCTAAATCTCGTGGCCAAATCTGTCAGGATAGACAAACAATTGTCCATATGAAGTAAATTTGATTTAAATTATAAAATGCAGTTAATGACCCTATAACTTTAATATTTTATTAATTTAGGCAGCAATCAGACCCCCTCCCCAACCAAAAAAGGAGCTTTGTAAATTTATAGCCCATGATTCTCATTCTTGGTATTTTCCCTTATCACTCCATTAGTGGTTTATGGGATCTGTGGTTTAGGAAATGGATGAATGGATTGATGGATGAATGGATTGATGGATGGATGGATCGATGGATCGATGGACAGATGGAGAAATAGATGGATGGATGGATAGACAGACAGAAATTTATTTAAATAGATTATGTCATTAACACAAGTCCTCTTAACACCACTTTTGCAGTAAAGGAAATATAGTGGACAAAAGTCAGAGACAATGCTGTTATGAAAGTGGTCCAGTTTATCTTATTTTTAAATAATTAATAATAAATATTTTTAATTAATAAACATCTTAAAAATATATACATGCGTGTAAATAATTTTCTGATACAATTTGACAATATTACCTCCTAAAAAGTATGAATGCATTTTGGAGAATTTAATTAACGTTGGTATGATTAACATTTTAAAAAACTGGTTGATAAAATTGAACTATAAAGATATTCTACCAATATTTTTTTAGCATTCTAAGTATGGATCACAAAAAATACACAATACATTTTTAAAATGAAAAATAATAATTATTAAAAATTGCAGTCTACACACTGACCTGTCTGTCTTTCAGTCTTTCTATCTAATCTTTTTTTTAAACATACTCTGTAAATAAATTGTATCTTAATGCATATTCTGTGTTTGCGCCTGTGATAATGCAATTCTTATTTCCACTGTTAACCATTTATGTGCCCATGGGGTTAGCAAGGCATGCAGCAATTGTTGCTCACTCCTGTGACTGTCTACGTGTTAGATGGAGGGGCATATTGCATGGTTTGCAACATTTAACTGCATTCGGTTGCCCGGTACAATGTCAGAGAATTCCAAATCAATTAGAAATATTGATTACACGTTTCACTTATTTGATATTTCTGATCCTTTCCTGGCAAGAGGGCAGTTTCCATTTTAGCTTTGTAAGCAACGTGTAAATATTGCTAATGACTGAGCTGCATAAGCAACTGGCAATGCTAAAATCCAAATTGGAAACAAAATATGACTACCCCAGGTGTGAGGATAAAATACAGGGGCCTGATGACGTAGCCATGTCCCTATAGTCCTCCTAAATATTCTCAATCACCACCACAATGGAGGTGAATTCAGATCTGCCTTTCCACCAGATTAGCCTGAGCCTTTCTCCTGCAGTTTCTCGGTTATAGCTGCTGCTGAGGCTGCTGCCACGGAGGTATCCATGACAACAGATATTTCCCTCCCCTTTACAGCATCTCTTTTTCTAAGGATTCTAAAAGACAAACCTAACCACCAATCGCTTCCTCTACATCTAAAGTCAAGTGGGCAGGACTATAGGAGGGTCTCCTATCCATCACATAGAAGGGGGCCCTTGCAACATACAGAGAAGAAAAATATAAATCTTAGCTTCATTATATTTATTATATTTTTGCATCATTTATTTTGTAACAAAGAAACACACACATATATGTATGTATATTCATATTTACATAAATATCAGTATATATACATGTATATGTGTGAATTTTGGTTTTCATTCAATAGACAGAAATCATATCACTGAATAACATCACCTTTTACCACATTTTTCTCTGTCTGCTCTCAAGAAAACCACCAAGCCATCTGTGTGTGCATGTGTGTATTTTTCCAGTGTGTGGGATTTTTCTTTTTTTTTTTTCTTCAGACAAGGAGATATTTTGCGAAACATGAATCGTAAACCACTGCATTCTGCAATGCCATCATATCAATGGGGAAACAGGTAAGAGAAAAGCTGATTAAGGCCCCTTTACATTCTACGTGTATCTCTATTTTCAACAATTATTTTCCAGGCTGTGACAAAAGGAACAGAGCACATTATTTAAAGGGAAAAAAAAATCACAGAAACAGTGTAGTCTCCCAGATTTAACCCTTCGTGTGCCGAGGATTAAAAATAAAAAATTCTGTTGCACTGCTGGCATGTCCGTTAACGTCATTTCTGTGTCAGCTGTCTTTTTATCTATATACCGATACTATAATTGCATGATTTTTACATGGGTTCCTGTCTGTATTCATGATGTGAGATGCATTCTGTTTGTCCTTTTCTCTTTTTTCCGGTCATGCTGCTGTAGCAGAGTCTGATATCTCCAGGACCTCAGAAATTGCCCCCCTAAGATGCTGAGACTGGACCCCCTGTTCATTCTGCTGATTTCCATGTCTTATTTCAATCCCGAAAAGGCCTTAGCAGCCCCAACAGAAAATGGTAAGCTACCCCTCTTCTCATTTCTTCTATTTAACTCTAATGCATTCTGTTTTATATGCATTACATACAGTGTATTCTTGTTTTAGCTCGCTGTATAATGACCACAAAAAGCACAAACAGCAACCCTTTTTTCCCTCAATTCCGACACTATTTGCATTTTTATTTATCTTTAGAAATAATGCCTCAGTTATCCCAAATCACTCAGCCTCCTATGCCCTGTCTGTTTATTTTTCCATTTTAACCGATTAAATCCTTTGTTCTGATTAAATCACACAATAAAATCAGCTTGTTATGTTGCTTATTTATATTTATTAATTTGTTTGAGAGAAAAAACTACTTACTGGGCTTGGTGAGAACCAATCCGATTTTTTTTGGCATGTTACAATTGTACGTCTAAAATTTGGATTATATTCTACCCTTGAAGAAATAGCCATTGAATATGGTAATATGCTATTTTTTTGGCAGTAAATGATTACAAAGTGGCTGCAAAATTAACATTTACAATAATTATCATACACACTATGGCTATTTTACTTCCAGGCTTTAATAGTCAATGCAGTACAGTCTGGGAAACTATTAATGATGAATTTCATGGCCAGACAATTTAGATGTACCAGGATATGGTGTTCCCTCTGCATGAGGGCAGTGATATCAGTAAACCTTGTTTGTTGCAACATAAACTATCCCAACATTGTATTTCTCTCCAGTAAATCCCAAAGGATATACCAAATGTTTTCCTCAAAGCCTCCCACAGGTAATGGCAAGGTGTGATTACACCACAGAGCAGGAGTTAACATTATGGCATTGTTGAGTTGCAACAAAAAAACTTGACATTTGGGCTATGGTTTAACTTCAATTCCCATCATCCATGGTGGAATTTGATTGCCAAATGCTGCCTCTCCCTATTGTGAAACTCTGAAAAACATGAGATATACACATGGGGTATGCTTAAAAATGTGAGTTGTCAAGAATTAGAAATGTATTTGAAATTTTAAGCCATACTTATCCAACTGAAAACCTGAGTAATTGAGAATTTTTATGGATTTGGCTATTTTGTCCTAGACTAAACTTTGAAATTCATTTTGAATTTGCAACAATATCTGACAATTCTGACAATATCACAATACAAAGACATTGTTGGTCTTCAATCTAGTTTTATCTAGTTATTCTGTGTAAGAAAAATTAAGATACATGCAAAATTAGTGATATGCAGTGTACAAATTCTAATAGATAAATAAGTAGTGTATATTTTTCATTGTGTCTACATAATGTCCTGTGGACAACTATGTGACGGGTTTTGTATTCAAATGCATAACAGTCAATGAAATTCTGGTCCCTGCTCATTTAAATGAACACCATGGCATTAGGAATGCAAACTGTATTCTTAACCTTATAGTGTCTGTCCTTGTCTAGAGTAGTCCCCACCCCTCCCTCGTGTCATAAAATGAATTTTTAAAAAAGCTTTTTACTCAACTTTTTCCTGCACTGAGATTCCTTTGGTGCTGCTCACCTCTCTGCCTTCCCTGGTGTCATTGTGGAGGCATGGCCTCCTCCAGCAATGGTCCAATCCAATTGTATACAATGCTTTCCTATATGGTTCCGCGCAGAGCCGCGATCAGAACATGATACTCATGACGGTTGTCATGGGCCCGGTGAACCTCAGGGAGACTCGGGCCTGGGAGATATGGCTGTACAGGGCCTGGGTACCACAGTCACAATGTGCGGCCCATTGCTGCCTGTATAGTGCAAAGGGGGGTTTAGCGAGTGCCATTTTCACTTTCCATCTGCTCCACTCTCCAATTCACGAGAGAGTTGCAGTGAGGGCAGCTGGAAAATGAAGATGGTGCTGGCTGGGCCCCCTCTGCAGTATACAGCACCTGACAGCAAGCAAAAGAGAATGTAATCTCCCCCCTCTCTGGCCACAGGTAAGATGCAGGGAGGGGGGGAATAAAATTACATTTATTATTGTTCCCATAGAATGCAGCCCCTATTTTACACAACATATTTACACACACTACAAACACTACACATTCCAAACACACACTGTATTCACTGCATAGGCACACACTGCATCCACTACACAAACACACACTCTGTATTTACTATACAAACTGCATCCACTACACACTACATTCACTACACACACTGTATCCATTACACAAACATACAATCTGCATTCACTATAAAAACATACACTCTGGATCCATTACACAAACTGCATCCACAACACCTACTTTACACACACACTGAATCCACTATACACACCCTACTCATCCACTATACACACTCTTTGCATCCACTATAAACATATTGCATCCACTACACACACCCCCAAACCGCATCCACTAAACTCAGGATGGCTTCTATGGGTGGACTCAGGGGGGCCCAGGGCAAAAAACCTTGAGCAGTGTAAGGTCACATGCAGTGCTGTCACGGTCAGCCGTAGAGAATCATTTTCCCCTCTATAAGGAGCATTAAATTGGCCTGTCATCCTCGAGGTACACCTCTAGGATGACTTAACAAGAGTAGGGAGATTCTTTGCTGGAGAAAAGGTGAGTTATTAGTTTATATTTAACACGGAGAGGGGGGGCAAAATAACAAAGGGTTGTAGCATTATGAATACATATATGTATTCCTAATGCTACAGTGTTTATTTAAGTACATACACAAATATGGATATTCACTAAATGCCGAAATGTAAGGACTATTAAAGGGTTTCTCCAGCCCTTTTTTTGTGGAGAGATTAGAATAATGCTCTAGTTGCAATATTCTTTATCCCCCACCCCCAAAAAAATAAATACTTTAAAAGTGTGTACAAAAAGCTAAACTTGCCTTAATCCAGAGGCAGTGGAAGTTCCTAATGTCATGGGAGCCATCCAGAGTTCCAAACAAAGGCTTCTCATAAAGGGTGAATGGTAGGTAGAGAGGGAAAGGAGAAGGAGGGAGGGAACAATGCACATAATTTGATAGAGAGGCATGGAGGGCTACATTTAGTCTAGGAGGGAGAGGAGGCTCTGTCTGCCTGGGAGACGCAGTTACGTCTGTCAGTAGCGTGCAGTGCGCACTGACAACAGACTTAAAATATGCACAGAATTGACATTACGGCGCCTGGAACAGTGTTAAAGGAACACTATAGTCACCTAAATTACTCTAGCTAAATAAAGCAGTTTTAGTGTATAGATCATTCCCCTGCAATTTCACTGCTCAATTCACTGTCATTTAGGAGTTAAATCACTTTGTTTCTGTTTATGCAGCCCTAGCCACACCTCCCCTGGCTATGATTGACAGAGCCTGCATGACAAAAAAACTGGTTTCACTTCAAACAGATGTCATTTACCTTAAATAATTGTATCTCAATCTCTAAATTGAATTTTAATCACATTCAGAAGGCTCTTGCAGGGTCTAGCAAGCTATTAACATAGCAGGGGATAAGAAAATCTTAATTAAACAGAACTTGCAATAAAGAAAGCTCTCTTTACAGGAAGTGTTTATGGAAGGCTGTGCAAGTCACATGCAGGGAGGTGTGATTAGGGTTCATAAACAAAGGGATTTAACTCCTAAATGGCAGAGGATTGCGCAGTGAGGCTGCAGGGGCATGTTCTATACACCAAACATGCTTCATTAAGCTAAAGTTGTTCAGGTGATTATAGTGTCCCTTTAAGTCATTTGTACCGGGGCTACCACTTGCCCTCGGAACACAATTACCAATACTTCTAGAGGTGCAGTGTTTCAAGCTGAAACACAGCACATCCAGGTTCTAACTACCATGACCACTTCACAAAGCTGATATGGCTATGGTGATTGGAGTAACCCTTTAAAACCAAATTTCAAAATTTAGGGAAAAATAACCATACTAACTATAGCTAAGTTGGAGATTGTTTCCAAGTTAGCATTGTTTTCATAGATTCTGCGTTAGGTTTTCAATTCACTACAATTCAGCATTTAGTGAGTAAAACCTAAAGAATAAAGTGTGTTGGAAGAAAGGGGGAACAGACTAAGTAATCCTTCCCAATCATGTTCCAATAAAATGCCAAGAGTAACACATTTCCAAGCTAATTACCCCTAAATTCAGCCTTGAATTCAAGCATATCTGACAGTAAGACAGCACATTAAATACTATGGCGTTTTTCGCTAAACACTGAATTGTATTAAACTGAAAATCAGACTGCTAAATTTTGGGAAAGAGTGCTGATTTAGAAAAGGTCACCAACTCAGCTATAGTCACAGGTTGTATATTTTAGCCTAATTTTGCAATTGTGTTTTTTTCCATTTTCAGTTGACTAACAATAGTTTGTTTATTAATTAATAATTGATTGTATAAACCTCTACTGAGATTTAAAATGACACTGATATTGCAGTACCCGCTAGCAAGTTTAGTCATGGTGTAGATACGTAACCTTTTTAACTAACTATTTAAAGGGTCACTCCTACCACCATGACAACTTCACTGTTTTGAAATGGCCATGGTACCTGGAGTCTGGAGTCTCTATGTGCAGCACTTCACTGAGAAACGCTGTATATGCTGAGGTTAACCCCTCTGCTGCTCACGTTAGGGTGTCAATAGTTATCTTGGCACAATAGTTCAGAACCGACTAATAAGAATTCTATGCAAACTTGGCATCTCGCACCAGCATGGACAAAATTCTGATACCAGACAGCCATTAATGTCACAACCCTCCCCACATCCACCACGTGAGGGAATGACCTCAGTTAACGAGGACAGGCCTGCAGGGTGAACTTACCTCAGTGCTGGAATGGAGGTAAATTTTAGCTATGTTCTTTATTTATTAGAGGTGGACCAGCATAGGAAGGGTTACTTTGACAAAAAACACTGTTTTATGATTGGTGTAACCATTCAGCCAAGTTAGCAAGTTAGCAATTGGTTGTGAGGATTCTTTAAAATTCTTTATAGGTTCTTTTTTATTTCAATTGACATGCTTTGCCAGACACACTGGTCAAAGCATGAAAAATTCATGCAGTGCTGTATGGTGTATACACACGTAAGGCAGTGTTGGATCAATCACCGGTACAGAATTTCTTGGTAAATAACTGAGTACGCATGAGCACACCAAAGGAATCATGGGGTGGCTCCAACATCTATTCTAGGACCTATAAGTGTTGCAGAAGTACGTCCTCTGCTTCATTCATCACAGTTAAAGCTCTAGTAGATCTGGTTGGAATTCTTGGGACATGATAGTTCCTCTTTAGATGAAAGAAACAAAGTAGAGAAAGTTGTTCTCTTGTACCGGAATAATCACAATCTCAATGACTGGCTCCACTGTCCAAAAAGAGAATATAAGGCTTATGATTTAACCGACTGAGTCAATTTCTTGTCTGGTGTCTATGAATGAGGTGATCAGGAGTTTAATCAACTATAATTTTGACATTCATAAAAATCTCACTCATTTTTTAAGGAAAGATAGGGCATTTTTGCATCTGTTTTAATAACCAATTATTTATAATAAATTTTAAAAAATAAAAAAACGAAAAAATGAAAAAAAATCCACACTACAGTATTACAATTCTGCCTGTTATAATCTTTAAACAACTAGAATATCTAATCAGATCTATCCCATAATAAATGTATTCCGTTCTTTTGATGTTGAAAATATGTCATCAAAGCTAGGATTTTCATGTTGATCTTTGCAGGTCATATAAAACTAAGAGCACAAGCTAAAAAATAAACTTAATTAATTAAAAATGATCCTATAAATTAATACTGAAAACTGAACCCTAAACTGTCCCAAAATATATTGTTGAAAAGTAAACAATTCATGGTATTCTCCCAGGGCATTTTGACCATGTAACCCTTTAAGTTCATCTATTTTTATCGTTGCAGCCGCTAGAAGTAACATTTCCATTTTTGGTGGTGGGGGAGGTGGCAGGGAGGTGGGACAGGGTTACAGATGATCGATCTCTGCATTTAATGCAGACCAGGAATGCAGAGTTTGTGGTTTATATGGTGGAGCACTTAGTCATGGGACTTATCTGGTGATCACTGCATTGTGCAATGCTGACATGTTTCAGTGCATGATGTCCTTATTGGATTTGTTTTCATGATTTACCTGGCATGTCATTGACACTGAATGAGGTTACATTTTTCTTGTGTCAGTAGTTTGGGTTTATATAAAGCACCAAAAGAATAACAGGAACTACACTGATTCAGATGGGCAAGAAATGGGTGCTTCAGTGCCAGGGGCGATTACAAACCTCATACAGAATACAAGTAGAAAAAAGAAGGTCCAGGCACCCCACTGCTCAAAATTGCATATTTATTTCGAACACAGTGTAAACAGCAACGTTTCAACCCTGAATGGGTCTTTGTCAAGCTTCTTCTTTTTTCAAGTAGTATGGGGTTAAGCAGTGGATTTGACATGGCAATGTAATTTTAGTTTTCTTATGGGGAGGGTCAAAAGCTGTCCTTAGTTATTTCTATTATCTCGCAAGGAATTACTTTTTCTATCTTCGTGCTGCTCTTTATTGTAAGAGAGAAGAGCAACTAATACAGAGATCCAGTCTTGTGATTTTTCAGGCCCCATTATTGCCTGATTAGCAATTGATCCCAGGTGATGACAGTGCCAGCTTAGCCCCATATCACGAGCAGTTAGGGTTGCCACAATCTTCTTCCATAACACTAGGACATAGTCAGGCTGTGTCTCTTCCATGTGTCACAGTTTTGCCTTTTCCAGTTGTGGTCTCTCTCCTTTACCCCAGTCCCAGTTATTATTATTGGCATTTATAGAGCGTCAACATATTCTGCAGAACTTTACAGTGTTGTTAAGGGGGAAATCTAACAATAAATTAGACAGTTACAAATTGTTATATGAACAATAGGTTGATGATGTCCCTGCTCAAAGAGCATACAATCTAGAATAATGTCCCTGTCCTCCCTGCATTTGTTCTCTTCTCCAGACATCCACACTTGTGTTCTCCCAGCTTTGCTTAGCCAAAAATGGATAAATGTAGCATGTAGTCAGTATGTTTGGATGCTGCTATATGTCAGACACTCAGTTTCCATGTTTCTGTGGAGGGTCAATGTTGATCCAAAGGAGGAGGCAGCCTGCACACTTCTCACTGAGAACTGGACCTGAGGCTGGTGACCCCATATATAAGTAGAAAAGACATAAGTAGCAGATTTATTGTAAAATCAGAACATGAACAGCAACGTTTGACCTCAAATTAGATCTGTTCATGTTCTGATTTTACAATAAATCTGCTACATTTTGTACCTTGACAGCCTAGATCTGAGGAAAGGCATGCCCAGGTGGCAGAAACAATTGTCAAATAGGATTTCAGTTAGATTTGCTGATACTGACCCGCACTTTACTTGTAAGTTAACAAATGCACCCTGAGGAACTCCAAAACACCCAGAACTGTTATATATATGTTATACGGCCACAATATTTGTTCTTTCATTAAAATCTGTAATTTTCACAGTTTTCTGATAGGTATGGCACCTTTAAATACAGTGCACAGACCTAATGGAGCTGATACTGACTGACCTGGAGCTGATACTGACTGAGAAGTATTCGTTTCTCCTCCTGTCCATCAGACTTTACTTTACCTTATTGAAACAAACACATCAGACTGGAGCCTTCAGCATATTAGTTCCATGCAGAGCATTCAACATATTAGGATGTGCATCTATAATAAAATACCATCAAAACTTTGTTTAAAAAATACTAGTTTGAAAGTGAAGATATATTATTTGGCAATAGTGACCTTTCCCTTCCTCCCACCCCCCCAGAATAAGGGGATAGAGGGGACAATTTGATCCTGCTTTAGGGTACGCATGGCAACATGATCAGGGGAATCATGCTGGGGGATCAGATCAGGAAATTCTACGGACTAAGAAGTACTTTTGACTAGAAAAGATACATTCACTGTTCCCAGTGCTATTTACTGTAGTCCCAGTTGTCAGGTCATGTATCAATATCTTACCGTATGAATTATGTAAATTCAGGCATGGATTAAAATATAGCTGACACAGGGCTACAAGAATAGCAAGTTTGCTAATTACAAAACTCTGACTTTTAGATCACTTACATAACCAAGCCAGATTGGTGGATCAATTGAAGTCAGGCTTGTGGCCTGACTAGAAAAATCAAACCTTAAATTGCTAATTGACAAACATTTACAATTTAATATATGCTAAAAGAAATAATAAGTCAATTAATACGTGTCCAAATTTAAAATAGAGTATGATTACTTGTTAACCAGTTGTTCCTTACAAATGAAAGTTAAACACTCATCACATGTACAATGGGGCACAGGTTATCATACAGCGTGGGAGTTCCTCCAGCTGGCCTGTCATTCCTTCCTCCCTTTTGGGGTATATACAATGGGAACTAACATAGTATATTAGTATATAAGATATACTAATATATGTTATGGGATACAATAAGAGCTTGTACCTTGGGAACAGGATAAGGAGCTAGAGGGGAAAAGGTCAAAGTCATGACCTAAGTATTTACTGATTGTCCACGGAACTAGATAGACAAGATCTTGCCCCCAAAGCAATCCACCAGCAGCTTGTTCAGGTGGGTGGAATCCAACTATCTGTGTGTAATTTAATAGCAATAAATTGGAATACAATAAAATTATACCAGTAGATGAAATCCACCAAAAGGAACCAGTCATTTTCATTTTAATCATTTGAAGTTAAGCTACTGGGTGTGGTTGTTATAGAGAGTCTTGTGTTAGTGCGGAACCACTCTCAAATCAAAACATGTTTAAGGAACTACTGCTTGTAAAGTAGAGATAGTTTCACTTCTATTATAAAGGTGTCATAAAATGTCGGAGGTAAATATTACTCTTTTCACATGAATATCTATCTAGCAAGGTCAAAACAAATCCAGGTGAAGGTGAACATCATGGTGCTATCCAGAGCAAATAATTGCTTTAAGAGAACTTTAATGGAATGCAAGTAAATTCAACTTCTATGTTAATTATTGGTCTTATCACAGTTTGCAGTATTTGTTTAAGTACATGTTATTCTGGAGAGTCTGAGAGTGTTTCTATATGTGAATTTGAGTGTTTGAATAAACAGCTGCTCCCAATTTTTGATGGTGAATAATCGAAAACATGAGTTAATCTGGTAAATCTACAACGCGTCAAAAAATTATGACAATATTTCTTTATAACACTAGAAGACAAAACTAAGCATAGTTTCTGTAAATTAAATAAGTTTGTTTCAGTTTTCAGATCCTTAAAACGTCAAAAATTCATTTTCAGAGTTTCTCATTAACAATCAGAAAGTTCAAATCAATAAAATGAATTAGCATTCATGAATAATTTTATTGCCATGGCAATGCCGGAGTTGCTCAGAGACAGCTGAATGTGATGCTATGTCTCTTTCTGAAGGTGCACATTGTCCTAATAGTTATGCAATTTCAATCCGTATAAAAACAATGTATGACATGCATCAGATTGAGTAGGTGAGAGAATTTCTGTTAAAAACTCATAGGTTTATTTGCTAAATTATGAATTTTTCAGAATTCAGCAGAGAATAGCAGATTTGAGAACAAAGTTGCTGAGCCAGAAGCGTAGCTCAATGGTAGAATTGTTAGTTTGGATATTATAGTCTCACACTTGCAATTCCCTGGTTCATCCCCCAAAATATACATATTAGCAAATAACGCTATAAGTGTGACACCTACATGCACAGTGAATGCATATACTTTAACGAATGTAATTCTACCAGTGTAGGAAGTCAGGGGATGAAGGCACAGATATGAGAGAGGTAAAATACCATCTGTCAGATCTGGATTAAGAACCTACAGGTACTAGGCTAGTTACAAGTTTAGGGCCCTCCTTCACTCTTAGTTTACACTCAGTTCACTCGTGCCTTATACAAACAGTGACCCATACACACACACTCTTTCACAATACAAATACTGTTGAATATACACAGACACTGATCCATACACACGCACTCACACGCACTCACATTAACCCATATACGCACTCACTGACACAGACAGTGCTCCATATACACACACACACAAACACTGACCCATTCACACACACTCATTGTACAAACAGTGACCCATACACACACACTCACAGTACAGACACTGACACATACACACTCACAGTGCAGACACAGATCCATACACATGCACACACAGTACAGACACTGACCCATACACACACACAAACATTGATCCATACACTCACAGATACAGTTCCATTCACACACATGGACACACAAACACTGACCAATACACACACTAACAGTGCAGACTCTGACCCATACACACAGATCCACAGAGACTGGTTGTTAGGTTACTGCTAAGCCTAGCAGGACTGGTACAACGAGCACGTGTACTACTATACCCCCAAGAAGCAACTAAGGTATCAGCAGAGTCTTGTTTGTTGGTGTCAACAGAGACAACCTTTACTGAAGAAATAGAGCAGAGTACCAAAGTAATGCCCCCAATACATTGTCTTAGCAATGGTGGTAATGAATCTGGTTGTGGTGATATAGCAATTTCCCTTCTGCCACAGGCATGTTTTCCCTCACATGCAGTCTGTATCGTGAGTGATCATCCGTCAGTGTAGTAAAAACAGTGCCCTGTCAGCGTCTACAAACGGCAGTTGCAGCGGTACAAGTTTCAACCAGGTAGGGCAAAACCCCTACAATGCAAGGCATTTGAAAAATGAAGGGAGCAATTTAATTTGAAAGAATGGGATGTTTCAAAAAAACTAAAGGAATAAATGAGTGCGAAGGGAAGAAAAACTCCCTGGCTGTCACTAAGGAGCTTCTAGCCCAATCATAAAAGTGGTAATTTCTATTGAAATATAAATTGAATGACTCCAGACATATGAAGCACTTCAGCAAGCTTTTCAGCATGCAAACATGTGTTTTAAATGTTGAACAATGGACATTAGTCTTTATTCAACCTGGATTACTCTGTACATATTATTCTATGCATGTAGTGTATTCCTTTAAATACTTGCATTTTACATAATTTGTAAAATTGTCTTTACATTTCATTTTCTAAATCAATTGTCAAGTTTTGATGCCATTTATCAATAAATAAACTTTGCATGCATTGCAAATCCCCATTATATGCAGCTGGTTCCAAATATCTGTTTGACCGTGTCCCGACTAGGCCTGTAAAGTGGCAGATATGAAGGGTGGCAGGATACTGGTGTATGTACAGCCAGGGCAAATCACACCATCTACCTGCCACATAATTTAATGATGAAGTGGGGTTAAAATCATATCTTCTTGTGTCATAACATATGCAAGTATTTTAGGTTTGTGTGGTTATTGGAGTAATCTTTTACTTTCCTAATTGGAAAATTTCCAAATTTGTTGTGCTGGCACAATGTATGCTTCTTTCATTTATATAATCAAATGATCCTTTATTACAAAATGAGGCATACAAAATGGTGGTAGCTATGGGTTGTGTGTGTTTTTTTTTTTTTTTTTTTTTTTTTTTTCTACAGCTCAATGATGTCATGTGACTTGAGATGCTTTGTTTTAGGATGTTTAATCAGGTTAATGGATTTTCCATTTATGTATACCCAAATTAAACAGTGAATAAATCACCTGGTTATTGTAGGTCATTTAAAGTTCTAATTTAAATCTTCCAGTGAATTCAAGCTGCCTTTGTGTAAACCATTTCTATGTTATTACTGTGGTATACTACTACTTTAACCCCTTAAGGACCAAGCTTCTGGAATAAAAGGGGATCATGACATGTCACATATGTCATGTGTCCTTAAGGGGTTAAATTGCCCAATTATCTGAAATGCATCAGGGTAACATTTTTTACCAGATTATCTTTAGTGTGGATGGTTTGTGTAGATAATGTTTGGACTTTGTGATGCAATCCTACTAATGGTAGTGTGGTACATTGTGTAATAAAGAATTCTAGCTCTGCTGTGTGTGTGGGAGTGGCTGCCATTAAATACCATACTTTCTTGGCGGATCCAGGGTCCCCCATAGGCAGCTAAAGTATTGTTCGTATTTCTGATGCATAACTGTCCAGGAATCCTTTTTAAGAGAGTGAGAGGTAAAACATTTAGAAAAAGATTGATAGATTGACTCTTGCACGGAAAGTATTCCGAATAAGGGTTGGTCAGTGTGGGCGGTACCAATTCCACCCAGAGCATAACCCTTAAAATTATATATGAATCAAAAGTAAGGGAAATCCCTATTGAGAGATCCCTAAATAGATAAAATTTAGCAACAGATTATCCACTTGGCTGTCTAGTCAGTGACTTGTTAGTTAGGCTTTAGTTCTTTAGTTCTCCTTGCCAAAATTGAACACTTGAACAGCAGCTTTATCTAAATTTAATGGGTGTGCCATTGATAAGCATCTCAGAACTTGTCTTTTCCCTTGGTTAGAAGTCCTATCTCTCAGTATTGCTCCAATAAATAAAGTATCAACTTTTTTTACTTTTTCACACTCCCATCCCCATGATTTACAGCATTGTGAAAAGTAATTACATTTATTGCAAGTGTATTAAACACACCCAAACACTGGGCACCTTTGAGGTGGGTCTGCCCCGCCACCCTTAGGGCACACATTCCGTTGTTTCTCTGCCCTTGTAGCTTAGGAAGGTTTGTTCTGGCTGCCTCCATACAATGTCTTTACTCAGGAAAGTGACTTTGCCAGCACTTCTGACACCATGTATTATTTTCTGAATGCAGATTTAAAGGGACACTTCATCTAAATGAAGTTGTTATGGTGCCAGGAGGTGCCAAGAGGTATGCACTCTTAACGAGAACGGTTTAACTCCTAAGTTTCCTCCAGTGGTGATCTCCACTCCTTCCCTGGTGGTATCCGGCTTCTAAATGTTCACTCAGCGATGCTGAGCGGGGGCATCGCTGATTAGCTGAGAACGTGCCTTTTTCATGCCAGTTTATTGAATGGGGAGTTACTGATTGTCTGAAAGCATCTGCTCTTCCCGGCAGCACTATGCACTTTATGCATGTGGAAATTCAGTAGCTGGATGCTGCCTGAGGAGAAGGGGAGATCGCCGCTTGAGGCAACCAAGGGGGTAAACAATTCTTGATAATGTGGACATTTTAGCCCTGTTTTACCTCAAAATAGCCAAACTGGAAACAGTTGATTTGGAAATTAGTAATATTTTAGGTAAAAGGACACTCCTTTACCTAATTGAGCACTCTTACCTCAATTTTAAAACTATTCTCAGATAGTTTTACCCCAAAGTTTTAGATTCAGGAAGTGCAGAGTGCCGCTGGGCAGGGGCACCGCTGATTGGCTGAGAGCGGTGAGCCATGTTTCTTTCCAAGCAAGTTTTGTGAATGGGGAGTCAACCAGCCAATCAGTGGCGCCCCTGCCCAGCAGCACTCAATGCTTCCTGAATCTGAAAATTCAGAAGCCATTGGGGTAGGGGCAACGTTGGGGTTAAATTGTTGGAAAACAGTTAAGGTTGAGATAAAAGTGCCTCCAGGGGTCTCCTGGCACCATAACAACTTCATTTAGATTAAGTTGTTTTGGTGCCTGGAGTGTCCCTTTAAGGTGGAGAGCAGGAGAAAGCACTATAGGACAGTAGGTTAACAGAGCAGTTCTTTATTCAGCTTCCATGATATCACTTCACAGTGCTGGCCAATTTTTATTCCTAAATTGGTCAGATTTCTATTTAAAATGTATTAATTTTACTTTATTTTGCATACTTGGTTTTCTCCGCAGGTATGTTTGACCACAACACAATTGACCCACTAGAGCCATTTTGATGGCTTTTATTACCTGGTACTCGATGAGTCATATCAAAATATATTTATTATTACGGGTTTAGATCAAAGACCATGTGATGCTACTGAGCGGAATTTTAGTTCTTTGAACTAATAATTTGAACTAGACTTTTTATTTTTTTCAGTGCAGACAAAATATTGCATTTGTCCTCAGAGTAAGCAAGGAGTAATTTCTCTTAATTAGCAATTTACGCTTATTTTTTTGTATTATCCAGTAGCAGTTTAAGACCTTGCTTGTATGTACAGATCTCTTCTGTACCTATCTTCATGCTACTGCCTACTCTCTATGTTATCTAATCTCTTGATGTAGTTCTTTATCTTTTTTATTTTTTTTATTTTTATTTATAGAATTCTCTTTAGAACTTTATATAATTCTCCATCACAGTACTTAATTGTATCTATCTCTATACCATTTACAATTATATTGTTTGATATGTTTTTCTCTCTATGTTGTCCTCTATCACGGTATTTTTCTCTACCACCAAAGGATGTTTTCTTCATCAATTGTTTCCTTTTCATGTTCTCTGTGGTCTTCTCCATCACATCGATTCATTGCATTTATGTTGTGGAGTTCCCCATCACATTGTTTTGTTGCATTGTTTTCTATAATCTTCTACCATACATTATTTTATTGTTACTCACCTTTGTCTCTTTGATTGCAACTTCTGCTTTTGTTTTATGGTGCAAGTGTCTGTTAGTTCCCCCATCACATTACTTTCTAGTACAGTTCTCTGTACGTGTCTCCATAATATTGTTTTATTGTCATATTCTCTATATTGTTCTCTATCATTATTTTATAGTACCACCCAAAGTAATTTTTCTATTACACTGTATTTTATTTTCCAGTTCTCTGTGGATTTGTCTATCACATTGATTTATTGTGGTGTTCTGTGTAGTGTTCTCCATCACAATGATTTATTGAAAATATTTCTGTAGACCTCTACAAATACATTGTGTTGTTAATTTATCTGTAGTTTTCTCTATAGAAACACCTTATTGTAGTTTTCTCTATAGTATTTTAGTGAATTATTTTACCCTTTCTGTACAGGATTCCCTACTATATTGTTTAAGTTCCCTTACTGAGATAGGTCATTAGTTAAGAAAAACAGCTACGGTATCCCAGAGTCACGTTTTTTTTCTGACAAGATCAACTTATTTAGGTTGATACAATGAGCACCGTAAAGTTGTATCTATCTATCTATCTATCTATCTATCATGCACTTTGCTGACCAGATGCTGCAGTCCATGAACTATTTATAGACATTTTTTACTGTGTCAGTCATTACTGTATTCCTGTACACAATAATGCTGATTGTCCATGCCAATAACTTAAAACTGGTGGAATTAATAGGTTGTAGCATAAATGTTTGGAAATACCTCTAGATATATTCCTTAGAAATAATGGAATGTGTCTAAAACATGCTTCATTTTCCTCTTTTAGTGAAATACTATAGAGATTTTTTACATAGTTATGTCCTGTAACATAAATAAAACTAGAAATCCCATAATTTTATTTTCGAGCAAATTCCACATTTGTATTTTTTTTGTACGATGAATAGAAAAAAAATTTTTTTATCCAGTAGAACTTTGTACCCATCTAAAACATTAGGATTGTTGCTCAATAATTTAACATTTTTAAACTCCTAATTGTAGATTCTTCAAGTATTGCTGGTTCTGGTGATACAAACATGCATTGTCTAGAAGAAAAAAGGTAGATAGTTCATTATCACAAAGAAGTAAAAAAGTCAAATGGCTTCCTATTGACTTCCTATTTCAGTGCTGCACTGTGTGGAGACACTGACTGCTCCCCATAGGGATACATTGAGTCAATGCATCTCTAAGAGGAGAAGTTGATTGGCGCAGTGCAGTGTTTTTCCACGCATGCAAAATATTCTCCCAATACTTTCCTACGGGAAAGCATTGGATTGGTTCAACCAATCCAATGATCTCAGCCATGGAGGCGGAGCCAGCCGCTGCGGAACCAGAGCAGAAATAAAAAAAAGTTAGTTAATACCTTTCTTAATAGTAGTCCGGTCATCTAAACATATACTCCAACACTATAGTGTTGCTTTAAGACTTGGGGTTTTAGAATAATTTTCTCCAAATGGGATGCTTGGAATCAGATATTAGAATCAATGGGATGGCAAACCTCTGTGTTCTGCTGGGTCATTCTTTATAAACATATACAGAATTTTGTTGCCAGAATTCTGTTCACCATGTCAAACATTTGTTAAGCATTTCGTGCCCAAATAGAGACTCCTGAGTAGATAGTATTGAAGTTGAATATGATGGCATTGAAGTTGAATAATCAAACGTATTATTATTATTACCATTTATATAGCGCCAATATACTTTGCAGTGCTTTACAATTATAAAATGGGGATATTGGACAACAAGTAGTACTGCGTATATAGAGACAAGAGGTGAAGAAGACCCTGCTCAAATAAGCTTGCAATATATAACTTGGAAAGTTATGCTCAAAAACTTTGAACTCTATTTAGCTCTATTTATGATCAGACAGACTATGATTAAATGGAGCAAATATCCTGCAATGTTAACCCTCATATTAATGGCTGTCCAATTTTCAGGTATTATTGATACAGAATAAAAAAAATAATATAAATATTGCACATATATCAATATTGAGAAGCCTAAGAAATCCACAAAAATACTGGTATAGCAAACATTCCTACATACCTTGTAGTTAGGGGGGGAGAAGAAAGGGGAACAGGCGGTAGGATCTATGTCGGAGGGTTGGGAGGTGACTGATATGACATAGAGAAGAAGGTTATCTAAGGGTGGTTTGAACAAGGGTTTAGGGTAGTCAAGAAGGAGTGGTCATGAACAGATTCAATTTTTGTGAAATGCAATATAGAAACACAACTAATTTTCAATTCTTTTCAATATCATAATAAGAATAATATGTATTGCGATTTGCAGTTCTTACAATATTCAGCATTTTGCATTCCATGTTGCTATTAATAGTGCAGAACATGTTTTTAAAATCTGAAACTTCAGTGACAAGTCGTATTTTCTGGCTACATGAAGTAGAAAGAATTGTTTAAATATCCAGATTCCTATGTTCAGTAACGGACCTTCACTGCATGACTTTACTGTGTCCTTATAGCCATATATATATATATAGAAGGTAAACTTTCAATAATCTGTGTAACATATTAAGCTAGAAAACATGATGTATTAGTAATTATGTTGTTAATTCGATACACTTGGACTATCCTAATGCTTTGAGTATTAATATTTGCAGTGCTATGTATGTACAAATAGGTAGTGCTTTCTATTAAATGTAAAAGAATGAAAAATACATGCATTGAATTAATTGTATTACAGTATCTCCTCTGTGCAAACTAGGTTACAGAATGATTTTCTGGCTAAAAGGCTACAGATAAACATGCTATGATTAAACATATGAAAGCTATTTTAAGAGTCTTATGTGCGAATGTTTCCTGTGCACCTCTTGCTATTTTACAGTATTACACTATATATATATATATTTATAGAATATTAAAATAATGTAATCTGATAACATGGAAAACACGAAAAACTGTTCTGACATTTTTTTCAAAATCTCTCCTTAGATGGCTCTTCTCAAGGACGGGCCCCTCTTGCCCCTCCATATGCAGTGGTCCTAATTTCTTGTTCAGGATTGTTAGCCTTCATTTTCCTGCTTCTGACTTGTCTCTGCTGCAAAAGAGGAGATGTTGGATTCAAGGTGAGAATCATAACCAGTGTTGACAAATAAAATTCAAAATAGCTTGGAAGTACTTTGTGATGTTCTTCTATAATATAATGCAGAGCTATTTACGGACACAACACTTTACTCTAACATAGCCTCTCAATGTGTATTGTGTTGGCTTAAATCATTAAACAATGGATATTGTATTGTTATATTTTCTGTTTGCCAGGAGTTTGAGAATCCAGATGGGGAAGAATTTTCTGGGGAATATACCCCACCAGCTGAGGAAACCTCCTCTTCCCAGTCCATTCCTGATGTATACATTCTGCCTCTTTCCGAGGTGTCTTTGCCTGTTCCCAACACACAAGCTCCAAAAGCAGGTAGCTTTCAGCTTTCACTAAAGGGTATATTATTTACTAAAGTAAAATGCAAAATGAATTCAAAAATATTTTCAAATTTAAAGTCCAGAAGCTTTCAGTTCAGCCTCTGTGGCCTTAAATGAATTCCCACTTTAGTCACGTTTTGATGTTTCTTAAAATGTGGTCATCTTACAGAAATAATGTAAAATATTGTGTTTAATCATTATTTACTAGACAAACAATTACTGCATACAGAAAGAAATGCCTGTATTCCTAAATTGTCTATAAATACGACAGTAGCACAATTAAATAGTTGATATGCTTTTAAGCTGCATGTACTAATAAATACAAAGCAATCATGACTGATTCTGCACATTGCGTTGGCAAATTTGATGTATTTTCACATTATGTCATCGACCATATAACATGTGCCCAACCTGCAGCTGATATGGTTTAATATATGACATTCCTATAACTGGCAGGATCATGCCATGTGACATTGGGTATTGTGGTAGTATTGCATTCCCAGCTGTAGCCCACTATTTGGGCTGTTCTTTGTGAGTCAAGCTTGCCCAAATGTAACCAAGTATCTTAGAAAATGAGCCAAGCATTAATTATCATGCTGACTTCTACATAATAATTTTAACTTGCATACTTCAATGTCCAACGTGGCTTACAAGCTCTTCTCAGCTGGATGTAGCCAATGTGTAGACCATCTAGGAGATCTCAAGCTGTGTGTAATGTTAATTAGACGAACATTTTTTGATAATTGCAATAAGGAAGGATAAAAGCCAGGCTTGTTCCTTTAATGCGAGAATATGAAGCCTGTAGTACTCAAGGTAATGATAAATGAAAACTCCTGTTATGCTTTACCAACAATGGCTATTGACTGGCTCTTTATATATATGTGTGTGTGTGTGTGTGTGTACCTTTTATCTATTGTCTGTCCATTAACAGAAGCTAGCCATTAACACTGTTCTATATTTTCAATCTAGTAAAACAAACAGGCTTTAGCCGACAGGACCTAAGCTACCTTCAGGAGATTGGGAATGGATGGTTTGGAAAAGTGAGTATGACTTATTAGATATTCTATTCTGGAACATATTGCTGTGGGAGCAAATCTGATTCCAGAGTGTTCTAACATATTTCTCATGCAGCTGCTAGGCAATACATGTGGCCATAAACCAACATTTATTGATGCTGACTGAGCGTCTCCATGTGGCTGCAACACAATTTCCAAGAAACACTATGAAATATTACATGACCGAACTGCTATATTTGTAGGTGATATCATCAAGAGGAGTACTGTGACAAGAGGCATGATTTCACTATACAGCTGTACTAGGATTATAGGCAGCCATGCAGGGAAGGACTGGGGCAAATGAAACTTTTTCCCCAAAAGATCTTTGGATGGTCTCACTCATTAGCGGGCTGCTGGAGTTACAATGTATGTCATTGTATATCTTAGGAGCCTCCATCAGCATAATGTGCATAGCACTACAGAGAATTCATAGAGTTCAGCACATGCCTAAAAGATGCAGACTCTATTGCCACCAAGGGCTTAATCCAGATACCGCATTCCCTCAGAAAATATCTGTGTATGCCAGTCTAGGCCCGGAGAACAATACGTAGGGTGCCACCAGCCTGTGCACAAACACACAAAATGTCAGCTATTGAAGGCTCTGCATCAATCCTGTCTGCTGCTTTGATTCTGCAGTACTTTGTCCCAAAATGGCTGCTGTTTCATGACAGTGGCCCAGGGACAATTGCCCAGTGCCTTAATGCCAATCCACCATGTAGTTGGGTCAATTTGGTTTTTATCTGAAATCAACAATTATGTTATGATTTTGTTTTGCATTACCCAGTGTCATTATAAATTGATCTGTAATATTCTTCATGTAATTGTCAACTATGTTTATTTCCTCATGAAGGTGATCCTGGGTGAGATTTTCTCAGATTATACCCCAGCTCAGGTGGTAGTTAAGGAGCTACGAGTCAATGCCAGTCCCCTAGAACAAAGAAAGTTTCTCTCTGAAGCACAGCCGTATAGGTAAGTAAACCGGTCATATAGCATTCATTACAAAGCATTAATCTTAAAAGGGTTACTCCAATTAAAAAATATATATATATATATATATATATATATATATTCTGGCATAATTACCCCCTGTTCCCAAAACAAAACAATAAAGAAATAGAGAGAATATAATCTTAGAGAAACTAAGAGAAACTAATCTAAGATCCAGTGAATCGGTCAAGTTCTTCTTAACCCTTAAGGACCAAATTTCTGGAATAAAAGAGAATCATGACATGTCACACATGTCATGTGTCCTTAACCGGTTAAAGTCTGATTCTCCTTCTGTGATGTCCCTACCCCTCATTGTAGGGAAGGGTTCTTCCGAAATATGGTCTGAAGAGAGAATTGGTAGCCCAGGGTTGTTGAGGTGGGAATCTGGACGTCTGTTTCCAGCATGCAAACATGAGTGCTGACAACAGATATCATAAAATGCACAGAATTTAGCCAGCCAGAAACTCTCATTTATAGAAAATTGTGAGCTCTGGAGTATTTTTGCCTTGGAAGGCTGCATACATTTCTACAAATTAGAATGCTACACCAACCCCTTCTAAACAGAACAGGAGTGCATGTAAATCCTTCTAAGCAACAATCCTGTTGTAGAGTTTGTGTGTTTAAAACAGATTTTAAGCTATTCATGTAAATCGTGAGATGGTACATTTTTGAACTCTTGTTTATGATTCTTGTGTTATTCTTTTTTTTGGAGTAATTTTTTAGTAGTCTTATAATTTCATTTTAGTTACACTGTGTACACCTCGAATTCTGTTTGTGTACTATGTGGGAGAGTAGAACAGAGCACAACAGTCATATCCTGTACAATTATATATATAATACTGTACAATATCTAATCTAGAACTTTAAAGTCGATTTGTACAGGGCCTTTGATGCTTTTTGTCCCCCCTTACTAAATTTGATTGTCATCGCTTACCTGTATGTTTCATTTACCCATTGTAGAGTATGCAGATTATTTTTTTTCTTAGACACTTGGCAGTTTTGTTACTTACTGAGCAAGATGAATGGCATATCGCTCTGCCAAATGTATCTGCAGAAATCTTTTTCCAAGAGGGGCAAAGCAATAATGTGTATAGACAGACGTGAAATGTTATGCTTCAAAGGAAAATAATCTCAAGGGAAGGCACTTGCATCTTCTTGCCCTATGCTGAGGACACCCAGCTCATTCTTTGTCCTATGTTAAGATCATGTTGCCCCATCCTGGGTTAAATTATTCACAATTCCACCTCCTTCTGTACTAACTCCCATCTAGCTTTATGCCAGTTACTTCATCTAGAGCAGGGGTCCTCAAATTCCGGCCCCCCAGATGTTGCTGAACTACAACTCCCATGATTCTTTGAATTACATAGATGAAGAATTTCATCATTGTCCCAAGTACAGGGACTGGGCATAGTATTTCCATATATCAACATAACACAACTACAATGTGCCCAACACCTTCTCAAAATCAACCACAAAAGAATAATGCGACATGTATAGCTATTTCCTGCTATTTAAGAGATTCTTCCCTCTATGAATAATTACCCAAGTATGTCTATTGCTCAGCACAATGCTGGGCATGCTATTATATATTGATGTTAATGTTACACAACATTAACTTTAAAATAACACCCTAGGGATTTCTGGTGTTTAATGTGCTTAATCTGTTTGTAAAATAAATGTTGGAATGAATACCTTATCAACAAAATATTATCGCACTAAGAAACTATATCTACCCTTGCAAGTCTACATTGTATATACACTGGTCGAGATAACTGCAATACAAGGACACACAGCACGGCTCGAAACAAAGACATGGCTCTCAGATTTAAAGATTAGTTCAGTTTAAGCAGAAAAACCTCTGGATCTGAGGATTATGTAATGTGGAATTTGCACAAATCATCTGCTACCTGAAAATGAGTTTATGAGACCAGCTTATTAATAGTCTAGTAGTTCATTAATATTGAATTCTCCAAAACAGTATGAAATTTCATGATTTTGAAAGGTAAAAATATTGAGGAAAAAAAAGAAATGTGATATGAGGCAAAATAATAGATACAGCCCGTGCCTGAGCTGTGCTCATCATTATGAACCAGATTGTTACATGATCTTGTAATGTGACAGTTATGAGTCACTTTTTTGCCAGAAAAAGACATGGGCGTATGACTTGCTAACAAGTTTTATCAACGTTAGCAACAATATTAACGCAGGGTGATAATGATGACCACAGCAGCTGTTCGACAGCAATACTTCACACATATAAATATTCTTGATTATATAATTTGCCCACGTAGTTTATGTAAAATCTTCAATATTTACTTGGTTATCAATTTACTTGATAATTAATGTAAGGCCATCAGTTATTTAACTCTTATTATTAGGTTTAGCAAAATTATATAATTATATAGGAACCACTGACTTACACTAATTTATTGTTAGATAACTCAGTAGCTTGTCCCAAGGTTCCAGGTTTGATTGACAGCAGAATCAAGACGTTTGCAGGGGAAGATGAGTGCAGTAATATTAACAACTATTCCTCAGGACATACTTGAGAACTGGCAACAGGCTAAATGTGAACTATCTCGTTAAGTAATTGTGTTTTTGACCAAGATATACTGAGCACTATCAAATAATTGCTGGAGATGTCGATTGAATAATGGTGATACAGGTATTTTGGGAAATCATAACGATTAAAATTGTACATCTTGGGGGTAAGAATCTTACCATGTGTCCAGAACTATTTTTATTACACATAGGATTGGACACATGGCCAATATATAATCTTGATTTTCCATACATGTCTTGATGGTAGTTAAAATTGTAATTGCCAGATATTGGAGGACAACTGATACCCCTCTTTAGCAAAAAGTGGAGAAGCAGTTGTTACATCAACTAAGGATGGAGAAAGGCTTGTGGATACAAGCAAATAATTCCTCTTTATTGGGTTCATATTTAGAGAAGTTAGGCCACAGCAGAAGATGATAAAAGTATAGATATGAAGGTTATAAGGTAAATATTTCAGCGGCATTCCCTGACTGACAGCTGAGGGTGGGGGGCTGTTGGGGGGGAGGGGATCTTAATTATTTCCAATAAAATATATCAAGTAATACGTGTTTGTTTTGATTTACATGTGTATTAATCTTAAAGTAACACAAAATTAATTTAAATGTATTAGAATTGTATTGAACATGATAAAGAAAAGAATAAACGTGAAAAAAAAATAAATATTATTATATTATTACAATTATATTACTTAGATATTATTTTACTAATATAAGTCTACATTAGTGAAATGAAAGCTTTACATTTGCTGTAGAAGTGGTTCCCTCTATAGTTCTAAAGGAAATGCATTGTTTTGATCAAAATAATGTGAGCAATTGTTCAAACCCGGAAGTAATATGGACGTATTCAGCAAAATAACTCAGCAGGCATCCAATACAAATATAAACATACATACATCTTGCAAAGCACTTTGTAAAAAGTGTTGTAGATGCAAAATTCTAAGTTCACAGGCAGGATCCCTGTTCCTTTTGTATTGGTAGACCCACATTGTGGGGTTATGGCACTATATAAATGTTAAACATTAGTAATAATTGTTCTTCAGCAGAAAAGAAAAAACAGTTTCTTGTTCAAAACACTACAAAACAGACCCTCACTTGTCACTCCTTCTTTCCCATCACTTATAAAGAAGTACTATAATTACACAAATAGTAAAATACATAAAAGTACATATTTAACAGTGACAGTACATATTTATATATATTTATGTTTTTCACACCAGTCTACACGCAATACCACAAGATAATAAAGCAAAAAAATGATTTTTGACAACACTGAAAATGTATTAAACAGAAAAAAAAACTGGTATGACGCAACAGATTTGCTCGCCTGGATATCGGAAGTTTCTGACATTCATTTCTGCAGACCCTTTAAGTTCTGTATTGCTGAATGCGGATGAACTGGGTTCAAGTTTGGCTCTGGCTTGGCCACTCAAATACACTCACAGAGTTGTCCCTAAGCTGTGTGCTTAGTGTCAGTGTCCTTTTCGAAAGTTAACCTTTGGCTCAGGCTGAGCTCTTCGGTGTTCTGGACCAGGTGTTAAATCAAGATATCAATGTATATTACATTCAGTTTTCCCTCAACCCTGACCAGTCTCCCAGTCCCTGCTCCTGAAAAACACCCTAAAGCATGATGCTACCACCCTAAGCTTCAACATTGGGATAGTATTTTGAAAGTAATGGTACCTGAGTGTCTCCAGACATGATGCTTTCAATTGAGCCTAAACATATGAATCTTTATTTTATCAGACTAAAGCATTGTTTCACACAGTCTCAGTCTGAGTCTGAGTCTGAGTCCTTTAATTTAAACCTACTGTGGGTGCACTAATGGTGGGGAGCACATTTAAATTGAAGCCTCCAACCATTGCCTATGGGTGGGGGAATTGGGGGGATATGTTACTAGTGAATGGACAGCAATAGCGAAAATGTGTCTCTCAGTGTATTGCAAAATTTATAGGTAATATAACATTTTTGTGTCATTTGGCTCGCAGATCAAATGATTAATTAATTTTTTTATTTTTATTTTTACTGCTGATCATTTATTTCCTTTTATTGGCCACTTCACACTTGATCTGTTAATAAAATCAACCATAAATTATATTTTTTTCCATAAATCATCTTTATTTTTGATACCAGACACAGAACTACGAAACAAACAAATCTTTTCGCCCATTGTCCGTTTTATTTATTTCATGATTCATCTTCCGTTTTGTTTGTTTTGGGATTCATCCATATAGTGTTTTGCAGTTTGAAACCAAATGTACAAGTCTAATTAAACCTGCTCTGATGTAATAACTCTGGAGCATTAAAGTAGCTAATGCCTACTTTGTGCTTTTCTGCACAAGCTGAGAAGCTGATTGAGGTTGTTCATGAACCAATTGTAGAACTTGTTCAAACCTCTGTGTCCCAGGTTCTGTTTCTGGCAGTTGACTATATAAACACTATTGGGTATAAGATTCATATGTACATTTATTTATCACACAAATATTTCTAAAGAAAATATTTCTAGCCTTGAACATATATGAAAATAAGCAAATATATCTGTGTTTTTCTGGTTAAAATATTTTCATTATATTCACACTTTTTTCATTGTTTTAATATGTAGGTAGGAGTAGAGCATTTGTCACAGTTATAAATATAGCCCCAACATTTAACCAGTGTTAAAATAAATTAAGTTTAATTAGTTACAAGTAGCAATGTTGATGGTTTTCCTTGCTTGTTTTCAAGAAGCCTCCAGCATCAGAACATCCTACAATGCTTGGGTCTTTGTACAGAGACAATTCCCTTCCTGCTGATCATGGAGTTCTGTCAGCTGGTGAGTTCAAAGAAGATACATTCTTTAGCTTTATTACATACACGGTAGGGTTTCAGAGGATGGATACAAATACATTGGGATATAAATATGGGGTTATTCCAAAACGTCTAAATGGCCTTGTTCCAAATGGGACAAAACCATCTGGCTATTGCACCTAGAGGGCAAAAAGCACTTCAGATTATCACTCACTTGCAAAAAAAGCAAGTGAACAATAATTTGCAAATGTGCATCTTACTGGATGCATTTGGTTCCCAATTGATTTTAATCCAGAAATTAAATGCATCCAGGCGATTGCTCCAGATTTGCTTGGCCCAACCAAATTGTAATTTCGATTTACTAAATATGAGAATTGCCATTGTGATCGTAACTTGCTTTGGATTTTGTCCATGCGGACAAAATAATCTGCTAATTAATGAATAAGCCTTCTAATCTTTAGACTTGTGCACAAATCTATTTTGGCTACGTTGAACGAATCTAATGCCTGTCAACCTATAGACTAACTAATCAATTCATTTGGAATCAACCAACGACTCGATTTGTTCATCTATGGATTGTCAGGCATTCGATTCAATTGACACAGCTGAAAGGGATTGGTGCAAAGTCTACTAGTCTTCACTGGAAGGTTAGTATCACATTTAATTATCTAGTATTCTGAATAAAGAAAAACACTGCAGTAAAGTCATGGATCATACAATTATTTTGTTCACATTATATTCACTTAAAGAATGTCACAGAAGTAGGGAACACATCAAATAATTCCCTTCTTTACTATGTAACTAAATGCATGGTTCAACTAAATGTGTGGTTTATTCACTAAACATTTACAGTTATAAAACTTAGGCTAAAGTTTAGAAAACGTATCCAATTCAGCTACAATCATAGTTTGGCTATTTTGTCTACATTTAGCTACTCAGTTTTGCAATTCAGGTGTTTAGTTTAAAAAATCCAGTCTTTACGCATTGTGTTGCTACAATTGAGAGTGAATTCATGTGAAATCCTTTTATTCCTCTCTAGGGAGATTTAAAGAGATATCTGAGAGCTCAGCGCAAGGCAGATGGAATGACCCCTGACCTTCTTACTTGTGACCTTACGACATTGCAGAGAATGGCATATGAGATAACACTGGGACTCATGCACCTTCATAAAAACAATTACATACACAGGTACAGTAAAGAGTCAGGTTTGGTTTTAAGCTGAGAGTAAAACTCAATGGCCCTTGCCATAAGGCTCCTCATTATATAAACTTATCAAGTGCAATCCTGTCTAGCCATGCTAGCAATAGTCCAGATTTTTTTTTTATTCTGGCCGGTGATTTGAAAATCAGGTAAAAAGAAAAAAAGCTAGTATCTTGCTGTCCCTCCACTACCTGTAGAGATCTGATGCTAAAGAACCCCACATCTGGGGTCTTGGCCCTAAAAATCCCCTCCCCAGCACGTAACTGTTATTTTGGACCTTCCAACTACAGGATAGGAAGACAAGTATGGTATATACATTTCTCTTGCATTGCAAAGCAATGTTCAGAGTATGATTATGTGTGCATGAGTGCATAAACAAAGCAGAAATCAACTGTTCAGAAAATATCCTTTTAATGGAGGCAATCTGTTTCTTGCGTCTCAGTGCCACCATCTTATGAGCTGTGTGGGTGTTAACCCTTTGTGTAACACCCACCTCTGATCCTTCATGTGCTCCTCCTGCTCTTTTCTTTGATATGCTCTGCTTGGGATGCTTCCACTAGCAGCGCAAACCTCCTCAGTTACGCAACATGCTGATTTCGTTGCTGACATGCTGGTCCTACACTCCCTAGTCAGTGCAAGCAGCATTGGCTAGGGAGTTTCCATAGCAACTGTAGTACATGCGCTTTAGTTTCTATGCCTTGGAAAGCAGAAGGACCACCTGTGGGTGGACTTTTCTGCTTTCCCTGTTCAGTCAAATCATCAGTGTAGGGTCGACATAGAATGCCAAATGCATACAGATCTAAATTTTAATCAAATCAGTGCGCTGTGAATCTTCCGAATCCTATACTATGCATAGGGTAAAAGCACTAATTTTAATCCAGTCCCAGAATATATCTGGCTATTAATGTAGATTTGTTTGGCATGACCAAATTCCAACCGGAATTGTCTTTAGTAAATATGAGAATTGCCATTGTGGTTGAATTTCGATCATTTTCACTGGATTTTGTCCATTAAGGACCAAACTTATGAAATAAAAGGGAATCATGACATGTCACACATGCCATGTGTCCTTGAGGGGTTAATGAAAAACCCTGTGTAATGAGGCTGGGACCTGCTGTACTGTGTCCAAATATTTCCTGTCTTTCACCTGCTGTGTAACTTGATTGAATGCTTGGGTCAGTTCACATAAAGAAAAAAATAGGAAACGGAGCCTCCTTTGGCACTACAGGCATTGAATAGATAGATTGATAGGAGAATTGTCAGGGTGAGTGCTAAATAACAAGGTTTCTTGATATACAAACATTACTTGCTGAAAATGGTATGTTCTGCACTACAAGCCCATCAAATCAATAAGTTACATAATTACTAATGGCTTAGAACTTCAGTTTTTTATTCATTCTCCTTCAAGCAATAGAAGAAATGATTTATACATAAAATAGATGGCACAACATGTATTTTGCTCTTTTCACAAGGATGTCTTAAATAGTTATTCAGTAAAGGGAGAACTGTCTAGAATGTAAACTGAATGTCACATTTAAGGCCTAAATAGCCAAACTGAATTTTTTTTCCCAAGTAAGCTATGTTTTCAGTTCAACTGCTTTGCCTCAAATTTGAAATTCACTTTGCATTCACTTTAAATACTCATTTTAGTAAATAACTAAGTCACTCATAGATCTGATTGTGGAGTTAGCCAGCAGATAATGTGTACACGGTTTCACACAAGAGAGCTACGCTTGGACACTGGAAACTAAATAGCATTTCTAGCCGTGACCATGTGATAAAGTAGATTATTCTTTAACATATTCTTAAACCATAATAGTAACATTAAAATGAGACACGTTTAAAAAGAAATAAAACAACAATGTATAAAACATTGCATAGTCAATTATTCCCTGCAATCAAACTTACATGATAGAGTTTTGTGATTAAAGGGGAACTATAGTGTTAGGAATACAAATTTGTATTCCTAACATTATTGTGTCCTTTGGTCCCAACCTCCCTTGTGGCCTCTCCCCTGGCTATAAAGGGTTAAAAAGCCCTTTGGTCACTATGACGGAAGCCATGGCGTTTTTGAGATATGTGAAGGCCAGCCTCCTGCCCACCAACTATGGGCCTGGCCCCCAGATCCACTAAAAAGAGCTATTTTCAGCTGGAATTGGGGATCTCTGGGGAACTCTGGGGATTGCCTGGACCCATTCTGAACATTGAGCGTCTGACCTGGAGATACCCTGAAACTCTATGGAACTATTTGCTAGATTTGAATTGTACTATGATCACATACATCTTTAATTGGTTTAAATGGGTTTACTGTCCAGGGAAACAGGGTATTGGGGGCATTTTGTACATTTTGGGCTATATGTTTGGGAGGCACAGCAGGGAGTCTATCTGGTTAGCTGGAGATTTTGCAATCAAGACTCCAGACAGAGTGGCACCAGGGTGGGACTCCTGTAAAAAGCCATTGCATTTTTACAGGAGTCCCCCTGGTGTGTGAATCCACATTTCTGTGCATAAAATGTCTGTGTGTCCAATAAAGCTGTTCTCTACCCCCTACATTCAGTCTCGATAGCTATAATCACGGCATAGAGCTGTGAGCGCTGTAAAGAGCTATGACCACTAGAGAGAGCTATAACCACAGCAGCCTGATCCAGGGTGGCAGAGCTGCACAGAGACCCCAGTCAAGCTGCAGCAACTGGGTCTAAAGCGCTCCAAGGTCCCTGATTGCAGGTAGGAAGCAAATTTGGTGAAAGTACACAGCCGGAGTACAGGAGCTCCATTACAGTCCCTTACCCAATTTCAGTGCTGATGTCCCTGGTTGCTGGGTTGTGAATCCCCTCCTATGACAACATCCAACGAAGGGGACTAATGTGCATGCGAGGAAAGTAACACAAGAGCACTTGGCCTTCCCCATGGGAAAGCATTGCCTCAGTGCTTACCGATGGGGTTTTTACTGACATTAGATGTCCTCTTGTAGAGCATGAGGACATTCAGCATTGTTTAATGGAGTCAATCTTCCTTAGGATACAGGAAGCACCTCTCTTTAGTATAAACATTAGTATAAATAAACATTGCAGTTTCTCTGAAACAGGGATGCTCCATCCAGACCACTTCAATCAAATGAAGTGGCCTGAGTGCCTATAGTGTCCCTTCAAGGATATCCTCCTTAAAGTAAAGAACAAAAAATATTCTTGTTATAAAATACAATGCGTCACTAATAATATGTACTATTACTTTCCACAGTGACTTGGCCCTAAGAAACTGCCTTCTCACTTCTGATCTCACTGTTCGTATTGGGGATTATGGAATTTCTCACAACAATTACAAGGTAATTTGTTAAAAACAATGTCGCAAATCTCATCAGGATATATATATATAGAGAGAGAGAGAGAGCCAATGACAAGTGTGTTTAGAAATCCAGTGATCTATACTTACTTTTCTGATTGTAAATGTAAATATGACTTAAAAAACAGTAAATGTATTTATTAATTACATATAGTTCATTATACTATATTGAAATAAGTAAAATGATAACTATTAGTATTTTTTTTTAATTCTTTATTTTTTCTGTGCATGAAGAAGAAAGACAGTTACAATTACGTTTGCATTGCCCCAATAGCATATGCATGCTTAATAACAATCTACAGCAATTTATCAAGGCATAGCAAGAGAAATACAATGCACGTTTTTATAATATGGCACGAGGTATACTTGTAAGCTTGAATACAGTGCTAGTGAGTAATTGACTTTTATAATATAAGCTTATGAAATATAGTACTATGGTAGAAAAAGTGTTTCCAGGAGGCCCCCCAAGCAAATCAGGCTTTGAGCCCTGTTGTGGTAGTTTGAGGATGGGAGCATGCTAGCGTACTGGGTTAAAGTAGGGCTCGGGGTGTGGGCATTGGGGATGTATTGCTGGGGTACTATGGTACCTATGTTCAGTCTCGAGTTCATCCAATGCCTTGTGGAGGCGCTGCGCTTTCTTGCCCTGAGAGTCTGTCGATGGAACTTTGCTGCTTTCCCTGGATTGGGTCCACCTTCAGGAGTCGCTGTGAAAGCTCAGCTGTGCAGGTGCGGCATCTTCTCTTGCGTGGCTTCCGAGACCGGCTTGCTTTGTGAGGCCGGTACATTGGGGCTGCCCTGTTGATTTGTGGCAGGCTGGTCGCAGCTGTGTTTGCCGTTTGCCGAGTGCTGGGGCGCTTGGTTGTGTTCTGTGGCATGGCCCTTGTGCACTGGGAGCCAGGTCAAATGGTCCGCCATTTTATGTCCCTCTGAGTCCTGGTCGATGTGGGTTTGTTGCTGGAGCGTGGAGGCAGTTTGTTAGGCGTGCGTTCTGTCTTGGTAGGCAGCGGTGCTTGTTGCTGCCTACTCTCCAGCTTCCTCCAGAAGGCAGTGAACAGGCTGTCCAGTCTGTCTTCTAGGTCCCAGTGTGGGTGAGAGCACGTGGCGTCCGCCATTTTTCGTTGCTCCATTGCTGGGTAGTGCTCGTTCAGGTCCTGTTCATTTGTCCTATGGAGCAGGGTTGCCTCCCTGGAGTGGACCGGGATCACCCCCGCCGGTCCCTGGGGGCGGGGAGGTAGTGTGTTGCTGTGTCCGCTTCGCCGGTGTCTGGACAAGGAGAGCGGCTGTCTCTCCCCATCACCGCAATCAGCAGGCCGCGACCAGCTATCCCAGGTTCCCGGCGCTGGAATCGCATAAGTCGGGTATCAGAAGGTACACCAGCCTTCCCCTATCTCGGTTGGAGCATTTTGGTGCTTGGTCGATTTGAATAAGTGCGATTTTTGTTAGGGAATATGCTGAGAACAACGGGAGCCCTGAGAACATGCGACTGTTCAGTTAGCAGGTCAAGCTCCGCCCCCCCTAGTAAGAATGATATATTGAAATGAGACATTAAATATGAAACACTAAAGTGAAACTTATCCGTAAAAAATCAGCTTTGCTACCAGTGTGGCTATTTTGGCCTTTAATTTGAAATTTAATTTTTACTTTAGTGAATAACTCTGATTATGTGCATTTAAATTAGTAATGTGCCAAATGAAGAACCTTTTATAATAATGTATTTCTGATGTATGTGTCCAGGAGGATTACTATATTACTTCAGACCGTCTGTGGATCCCGTTGCGATGGGTTGCTCCTGAGCTCTTAGATGAAGTTCATGGCAATTTAGTTGTGGTTGATCAAAGCAAGGAAAGCAATGTCTGGTGCGTGCTTTATTTAATTATTACTATTATTATTATTATATTGTTCACTTTCATATTTATAAATGTCACTATGCTATATTTCCATCAACCTATTTATCTGTCAGTCAGTCATTCTGTCTCTCCATCCTTCATCCATTATCTGTCCATATTTCAAGAACATTTCCATGCATGGAACCAACAATCTCATTGTTTCACCCCTAATATAGTGCATTGGTGGTTTACAAGACAAAACAACAGCCATGCACTGCTCTGCGTGCAAAATGTTTCAAGTGTGACTGCAATTTAGCTACACAATTGTCTAGGTTGAAAAAAGACTAAAGTCCTTCAAGTTCAACTGTGAAGCCAGTTCTTTTATATTGTTGACCCAGAAGAAGGCAAAAAATCCAACTGTAGCCATTCCCAACTAAGCCACAAAAATGGAAAAAAAATGTTTTTGACTCCATAATAATTCGATCAACTTAATTAGATATTCTGTTTATGCAAAAAAAAAAAAAAAATCCAAGCCTTTTTTAAATGTATCTATAGAATCTGACTTGTTCTTGGAATATCCTGCAATATCCTTATTTAAAGCCTAACATTGATTTATAAAGAGGCAAAATTATATTTGGATCATGTGAATCAAAACCACTTTTTATACATAAAACCTTACTATAACCTTACTAGCTTTTGCAACGACAGACTGGCATTGCATACTGTTGCCTAGTTTGTGATGTATAATTGTTCCCAAGTGTTTTTCACTAAATGTACCATACCCCATTTAATGCGTGGTTTCCTTATTCTTAAATGCATGACTTTGAATTAATTTGTATTGAATCTCACCTGCCACTTGCCTGCCCAGTCCCCCAATTTATCCAAATCCTTTTTTTGAGAAGTGTTATCATGCTCAGACTGTATTGTCTTACATATTTTTGTGTCATCTGCAAACACCAACAAATTACTTTTAATGCCCACAAGATAATTTATAAACAGATTAAATAGCAGTGTATGCAGGACAGAACCCTGAGGCGCTCCACTTACCACTTTTGTCCAATTTGAAATTTTTCCTTTTACAACTCCTCTCTGCACTATCTTTAAGCCATTATTCTATCCAATAACACAATTTTTGTCCAAACCAACTGATTTCAGTTTTACTAGTAACCTTTTCTGTAGAGATGTATCAAATGCCATAGCAGAATCCAAGTAGATCACATCTACTAGATCACCCTGATCTTTATTTCTACTAATGTCTTCACACAATGCAATTAAATTAGTTTGGCATGACCTGTCTTTTATAAATCATGTTGATTCCTGCTAATTATAGTGTTGTTTAAAATTAATTCTCAAATATTATCCCTTAACAGCCATTCAAAAATATCCCAACCACAGATGTTAAGCTCACAAATCTGTAGTTTACAGGTTGAGATTTTAAACCCTTTTTAAATATAGGCACCACATCTGTTTTTTTTCTTCAATCCTCTGGTGGAATTCCTGAAAAAAAAGAATCCTGTTTTTTTTTTTTTTAAATACAGCGGTATAAAAATGTCAACACTAAGCTCCCTAAGCACATGTGGGTGAATTCCATCTAGCCCTGGGGCTTTGTTCACATTAACTTTATTTACTCAATCACCTGTTTGCTGTAATGCTTTTGTAACAGCGATTTGCAAATCTACAGCTATAGATTATTCTTTCCTATATAGTGAAGAATAATTATTTAGGATTTATGCCTTGTCCTGATCCTCTTTGATTACCTCACTCATCTTCTTTTCCAATGGACCAACACTTTCACTCTTAACCTTTTTGGCATTAACATACTTAAAAACTCTTTGGGGTTTGTCTTGCTGTGAGCATTTCATTTTCATGTTTAGCCATCTAATCTTCCTTTTGCAAGTCCTATTGGCATGCTTATATTTGTTATAGGATGCAATCGACTACCCTGATTTAAATGTTTTAAATGCCTTTTTCTAATCTTTTATCATTTGACTGACGCTTGTACTAAGCCACATTGGTTTTAATTTGCTTCTTTTATATTTGTTTCCCAATGGTATGGATTAAGAAATGTACTTTTGTAGAATTTGATTGTAGACCATTTATCCTCTGTGCTTTTGCCGGTGCATGTTTTCTGTCAGTCAATTAACTGTAAAGATTCCCTTATACTATTGAATTTAGCCTTTTTAAAATTAAGTGTTGTGTACAGCCCATATAAATTAGCTGTTTTTTTTAGTAACATATTCACACTATTAACGAATATCCCATGTTTCCTGCGACCCAGAAGGCTGCAACATCCTCAACTGTATCATCACAAGTGTTTTGTACAGCCCATATAAATTAGCTGGGTTTTTTTAGTAACATATTCATACTATTAACAAATATCCCATGTTTCCTCCGACCCAGAAGGCTGCAACATCCTCAAGTGTATCATCACATACAATTTCTTTAACACTTGGCTTCAAATTAGGTTTTATATAAAGACATACAATACAATTTATCTCACATGTGTATCTAAAATATTGTTTTCTTTTCTTTGTATATATATATATATATATATATTTACAGGTCCTTGGGAGTGACTATTTGGGAACTGTTTGAATTTGGGAGCCAGCCATATCGTCACCTATCAGATGAAGAAGTACTGACTTTTGTAGTCAAGGAACAGCAAATGAAACTGGCAAAACCTCGACTTAAGTTGCCCCACTCAGATTATTGGTGAGGTTGCGTTAACTATGTACCCAGTTAGTCATTCTAGGTATTATTACTTGTACACTAATTCTAAGAGGAAGCACATCCATGTTGTTCAAAATTAAAGCCCTTCAATTTAATTTTAAGGGCTACTTTGTTTTGTGACTCTGGAAAGATAGCCTTTGCTGTAATGTCATGAGTGTCCCATGAATGATCTCAGATTATACATCATATTGACTTTATGATAGGATATATATTTGTAACATAATCCAGTGTTTTGTATTGCTTTTCAGGCTTAGCACAAACATCTAATTTAGCTATACTATCTTCAAATTAATTTTTCTGGATATTTTTTCTAGGTACGAAGTTATGCAGTCCTGCTGGTTATCTGTCGAACAGAGACCCACGGTGGAAGAGCTTCATCTACAACTCACTTACTTATTAAGTGAGTGCTCTAATCAGACAGAAGAAAGTTTTGAGTGGCGCTGGAATGCTCTTAAACCAAGCAAATCATCAGGAGGACCTTTGCGGCACTCTGAAGAAATTTCAGCTTTCCCTCTTCTAGACAATTTTAGCGGTGGGGATGGCTTTCATGCTGACATGGATGACATATTGACTGTAACAGAGAGCAGCCGTGGGCTCAACTTTGAGTACATGTGGGAGAAAGCCCGGCTAGGTCGCTGGAAAGCATCTTCACAATGCCAAGACTACCAACCAAGCAATGGGAGTCTTACTGTGCCTGCAAACCCTTTTTATGATTCTAGCCATCAACATTCACGCCAGAGTTTGGAAACACCCAGTGTGGTCCCAGTTATCAGTGCACGGAGCCCTTCAGTAAGTAGTGAATATTATATTCGTTTAGAAGAACACACAGACAGGGGCAGCAGCGTGGATTGTACTGTTTGTGCACCCAGTCCAATCTACGAAAGAAAATATGACCTACAAGAAAAACGAGCTCTTCACCAACGCTTATCCTTAGGTAGTCCTTCTTCTCCTCTTGAACCACTTTTTCCATCAGACTGGGATGCACTTGAAAGTGGAAGAACAAGTCCAGATGACCCACCTGCACACTTAATTTTGCATGAAGTTCCTAAACTCATAGACAGGTGGACTCCAAGTAACAACAATCCTTTTATTACCATAGGAAGAGAACTCCCCCGTTATGTAAACCCTTTCCGCGGGTCAATAGATAGAGATTTGTCAAGGCAGGTACAGGAGACATCTCTAATGGAACCCATGCCAGATGTTTTTTCATCAGATTCCATTTTAAATGTTTATAGAGACATTGAAGATCACAGAAGGAGCTGGGATTCTGATACAATGGAAGAACGAGGTGCTGGAGAAACACTAGCAGGAGATCCAGAATCTCTGGCTGAGTTCTTGGATGACCGTGCATCACCATGGGATTGTGAGGCTTCTCTAATGGAAGATCAAAGCACTGAAAGCAGCAGTAGCAGCACGGACAACAGTAATCATCGTAACATGCCTATATGTCCTCTGTGTAGCAGAGGAATGCTGGGTAGTCTGCAAAGATGCTCATGTGCAATGTTACGTGGGGATGTTGTGATTGATTGGACCACTCATGTCGCCATGCATCAGGACCATTATGCCTTGGATGATGATTCATCTTTGAAAGTTGAACAAGGTTCTTTATCAGAATGCTCGATACAAGCAAGAACATTTGGTGATAGCGATATGTATTCTGGACCATATGGAGAGAGTCTTTGTGCAACCGAACATCAGGAATTTTATGATCCTCTCATGGGAGCAGCTGTAAAAAGTTATGACATTCAAGATTATCGTAATCGTAATCAAATAAAGGCCTATGAATCACTTCAAAAGACTGTTTCCAATCATCCACCTTCTCCCTTTATTGGAATTTCAAATTCCTTGGCTAATTGTAGTGTGATTGTGCCAATTGAAATCCCACCTCTCTCAACTCTAGCTGAAAGTATAGAAGAGGAGACCATAGAGATTGCTCCAGATGTTATACAAAGATACCCAATAAGCCGTAATAATTTGCTCACAGAAAAGACACAACATGGTCCTCGGGAAACACTAGACTCTGCTGATTCTTTGGACATTCCATCTAACACCAGCTCATCAGATGTGTGCAGTCCATCTTCTCACTATTCATCACCTGGCCAAAAGTTTGGGGATAGTGGTTATGAGACAGAGAATACTTTTTCTCCTGAATTTATTTTTAAGGACATAAAAGAAGATGAATTGGGATCTAAAGATTTAAAGTTACCCTTAACTCCAATATCAGAGTCAACAAGTGATTTGACATTGACTGAGGACTTGTCAGAAGCACAAGCCACTCCTACGGAAGAAGGGTCACTTCGAACATTGGGTCTTGGTACACTGCATCGAGATTCAGCATATTTTTCTGATTATGATAATGAACCAGAGAAACATTGTAGAGCTGCTAGACAAAGGCTTGATGGTGAGAATCATAATGGGTTTTGTAAAGAGGATGATATATCATTTACAATACCAGTAGAAGAGAGTGATCATAACGAGCATGATGAGCAAGCAGCTGAAGAAATCAATGCCGATGAAAGGGAAAGTGATGATATGCCTAAAGATGTAATTTGCTCATCACTGGATAATGAACACAGCCAGCAAAGTGATCAAATCAGTGATGCAGATGACAAAAATCTGAACTGCAATGGGGGGTTAAATTCAAAGGAAAATGAATTAAATCACCCGGTCACTGAAAATAATACTATTGAGTGTCATGAAGGTTGTGAGAAGACTCAGTCAAGCATCACCCACAAAAATGGAAATGAGAATGTACTAAAAAAACAATCAGAAAGTGGTTTTGTAGTTCAGGTTTGCAAAGAACAGCTTCTTGTCTCATTGAGAGAAAATGTAACTAGAAATGTACTCTCTAACTTTGAATCATCAGGATCTGTGAACTCTTGTGTCTTAAGAGACACGGCTGTGTTGAAGTTATGGTCCATGGATCCAAATCCCAATAAGGTAACCGATGGCCCATTAAATAATGAGTTCTCATCCAATGAGTCGTCAGAAAACTCTGAACATCAGAATCCAGAAGGTAGTAATTTGCCAGCTTGTGACAATATTGTGAGTAGTAACTCAACTAAGAACTGTTCTACAGATGAGTTAAAGGACATTAGAGTTGACGAAAGTGACACACAGCAGTCGCCTGACAAAGAAAATATGAAAAAAGATGAGAAAGAAGCATGCACGCAAAATATCCCTTCAGAAACCAGCAGCACGTCAGAAACGCCCATTGATAACTGCAAAAGCAATTCAGACACTGCAGGTCAAACTGATGAACAAGAACAATTAAAGCTTCCTGTAGATTTTGGATCTACAGCAAATCCTGGCAGTGAGGCTATAAAAGGTATGAAAATGTAATTCTGTTAAAGTACAGACGCACGTCTTGGCGCATATTAATCTATTTTTTCTTTCAGCATTTGACAAAACAAAATCCAAGGCAATGAAAAAAAAGTCTTAGCAATATTATCTAGATTAATTTCAAGGTCCAGGTCCACTAGAGTTTGAATTTACCCCATTTTTTATTTTAGTGTAAGGTTCATAAAATAGATCTTCCATTGTTCTGTCGAAAATAACCAATGATAATACTGATTATTCTGTATTAACTATCAAAGAGGACACATTTTAATTAATATGTATAATTATTTCATGGCTTTATTTATTTATTTTATGGCTTTCAAAAAATAAACATTTTTTTATCATGTGTTTTGGTATATCAATATTATTCATACTTAATTTATAAAGGAGGGAGAACCAATTTTATTCTAGATATAAGATACCAGAGAATGAGGGTATTGGAGAACAGTATTTTTAAATATAAGCACAGTTTTTTTTTTAAATCATATTCCTATTGTGTATCTACACAAGCTCGTTATTCTTTTTAACATCCTGAAATATTTTGGGGAAAGAAGCAATAAATAACAATATTCACCATTTATTAATGGTCAACTCAAAAAAATAAATGTAAACTGTATGTCCGTTGTATGTCCATTCATAGCATAAAATGTGCTAATTGAGGTTAAAGCCCAAGCGAAGTCTGACTCAGATGTTTGTATTTTGTGATATCAATACTCAGTAATTAACAGTATATCACTTCATAACATGTAATTTCCTGGTGACCAGTTAAATATGTGGCTTAGGTCCTTTTGCAAGCAATAAACAAAGCTATAGTAATCCAACATCAATTAATCACACTGAGTGGTATAATAACAAACCACCACTAAAGGATTAAAAAAAAAAATATATATATATATATATATATATATATATATGTGATATTTCTTCTTTTTGCCTAGTTTATTTTACTGACTAAAAATTTTTTTTGTGTTATTAAAAGCAAAATAATGTGATAATATATTGAAAACTTGTAGATTGCAACCCAGGGTAAAATTCAGCAATGATGCCATAGGTCGATTCTTTTATCTCCCTCCCAGAATTATAACAAGGCCATGGTTGCACAATTTTTGTTGGAGTAGGGTATCCAGTTAAAAGTACACCCAGATATAAGTACATCACTCATGTCAAATAATATTCTACTGTTTATTTATTAAAGGACCACTCTAGGCACCCAGACCACTTCAGCTTAATGAAGTGGTCTGGGTGCCAGGTCCCTCTAGGATTAACCCTTTTTTTTTATAAACATAGCAGTTTCAGAGAAACTGCTATGTTTATACTGAGGGTTAATCCAGCCTCCAGAATCCTCTAGTGGCTGTCTCATTGACAGCCGCTAGAGGCGCTTCTCTTGTGAAAATCACAGTGAGAACGCATAGCGTCCATAGGAAAGCATTGTAAATGCTTTCCTATGCGACCGGCTGAATGCGTGCGCGGCTCCTGCCGCGCATGCGCATTCAGCCGATGACGTCGCGAGCAAGGAGGAGAGGAGGAGTACAGCTCCCGCCCGGCGCTGGAGAAAGGTAAGTGTTTAACCCCTTCCTCTCTCCAGAGCCCGGCGGGAGGGGGTCCCTGAGGGTGGGGGCACCCTCAGGGCACTATAGTGCCAGGAAAACGAGTATGTTTTCCTGGCACTATAGTGGTCCTTTAAATAGTTGTTCTACCCACAAAATAACTGTAACCACTCAAATGTTTATTACATTTTTTTTGACGATTTCCAATCTCTATAGGGTTGGTGGACTCAAGATAGCAGAATATAGCAGAATTTTTGTGTATAATCAGGTTCCTTATTAATTTGGGGTTCACTGTAATTTGGCCAGAAGGGACGGGGGTTTAGATGTGGGGCACTTACAAACCAGTGCTCATCCCCAGTTCTTTATAAATTAAAGGGACACAAGATACAAAAATCTCTCTTTAATACAGAAACAGAAACCTTTCTCTCATTATATTATCCATATATTGTCCATACACACAGTGCAAGGGTGATGCCAGATATGTTTGTTGGGCCCTGATCACTAATGACTTCTAGGATCTATATATTTATTTTTGAATCCCTCTATCTCTGCTCAAAGGATTTGGGTTAGAAGTAAGGCCGATTGCTTGGCCTTCCATGGTTACAATGAAGTCACAAGAACACAAGTATGTTTATGCACTCTATTTTAGTGGCAGAGAATTGGAGGGATTGGGCATCCACAGCCACATAACTTGATCACACATTTTACCTTATAATGTTGTCTCTGTTACATGTCAGTATTTTACATTCACATAATGCAGAATTTTTACCAAATTAACTATCTCAGCCAACATGGTAACTATGTGTTAGGTTTCGTGATTCATCCACTCCCCATGCAATAAAAATGACAGAATTTAACAGTCTAACATATTGAGCAAAATAAAGCAGTTCTACTTTCCACAACATCTTCTTAAGTATAAAAATTAGTAATCGAACTAAGATGAAACTTACGACAGATTCTTGACTTGGAAATTAATTTGGAAAAGGTAGGAACACTAGTCAAATGCCATCAGAGTGTTTTAGCAAACGCAAAGAAGCAAAAAAAGGCTGCTCACTCTAAGGCCTTATTTCCCCAAGGTCCTAAACAATCTACAAATAATAATAAATGAGGAGCAAAACCATATAAATAAAAAGCACTTTATTAATTGGTCCAACATAGCAGGTATCCCAGGATGCATGCCAAAAAACATTAGCATGTCACAATAAAAATACAAAAAATATATACAATGTACCACAGTCACAAATATACATGATACACTACTAGAAAAGACAATAATACCATTCCAGATACATAATCATATAGATACCTGAAAAAACTACCCAACAAGTAATACATACCATGAAAAATACCAGAAATAGTGAGAAGAGGGAGAAAGTCGTAAAGCACCCAACGTTTCGACAGAATTGCCTTTATCAATGGAGCATGTTGTACAAAGGAAAGAAACTCCTTTATATACCCAGTAGTAAACCAAATAGCAATAAAAAACACCTGAGTGTGAAGGGTGGCCACCCACAATGATTGAGATCCTCCTAACCATAATCACATGGCTATGGTCACCAAGGAAGCCAATACACAGGAAGTAAGTATGCTTTAAACTTGTACCTGTACCAATCAAGAAAAAAAAAAAAAGATAATAACAAAAAAACCCAAAATAATAAACTAAAATTTAACAAAAGATTATCTGTCATTAGCAACCGATCACCATGAATGCTTGTATATGCAGTGGAACGCACAAGCGCTCCAAAAATATCCGGAAAATATGCAGAAACAAGAGTCTTGACTTGGACCTTGGTTTTTAGTCAGTATGCAATATTTTGCATAGTTAAAATGGTACTTAGGCCACAATTTCACACCTTTTATAGATATGTGATCTCTTATGTAAAATAAAACTTTGACTAACAATGGTAAAATAATAAGTTACTGCATAAAAAAAACATGTTTCCCACTATAGATGAGATTTACTGTCAATGGGATCACAAGGTACTATCTCAGTCTTATGTGTTTTGGCTTATCGTGCCCGTAACCATAAATACTGTAGTATTTGGTCACTTAAAATTGTGATCAATACTAAAATGGTTTAATAATTTAGCTTTATTTTATCTCATATTGGTAAATGGGGATGCTATTGCTTTCCCATTTACTTAAACTCTTTCCCATTCTGTTCTTCAGCAAAAGTTGCCAGGCTCTCTCTCTCCCTCCCACCATTAAACCTTCAAGCATTCCAAAGTTCAACTGTGCGCAAATCATTTTGGGACAGTGGTGAAGAAAAAACAAGCGATCTACCATTTAACAAAGTAGATGAGGATGAGGAAGATGATGAGTTTGGATTCCCGGGGCCACAGCAAACAGGCTCAGAGTCTGAAGAAGTAACTGGGGTTCCCATTGTAGTAACAGAGATGGATGATGGACGCAACTTACGTAGCCTCCTGAAATCACCAAAATCGGCAGATGAGGTGGATGATGATCTTGATCGCAAAAGAAAGATGGTCTCCTTTTTTGATGATGTCACCGTTTACCTATTTGATCAGGTATATGTTTTAGAGAGAGTACTAAAACCTGATAATGTCACTTAGTTTCTGTAAAAGTAGAAATAAGAATAATGACATTAGCTTTTGTTTATATAAAAACTATATATATTACATATAACAATATAGAGAGGACGAGAGGCAGAGAATCTGCCATGACTGTCCTCCATTAGCTGTAAATATAAATTTCTAATATTTTAAATATAAATACTTTTTATCTCTGGATAGATGTCTGGCTTTATGGCTTCTTCAGTGTGTTTTATAATTTTTTTACATATCTGTGTAGGAGACACCAACAAATGAATTGAGCAATCAAAATTCAACTGAGAATGATGAGAGTTTACATAATCCTCCTGTGGATTCCAGCCTTGACACTTTCGCATCACCAGATGGTTTCAGTAAGATCCTTATTTCTGTTTATTTACACATTCAGTCTACTATTATAGTGGCTAGTAAAATGAAACACATATTTAAAGTGGGTCTGACAGTTTTGAGGTTCTTTGCATATTTCGCAAAGACTCATGAAATGGACAGATTCAGTGTGGGCCCGGTGGATGCTGCGTTTGTCCCTCGCTGCCATCGTCATGATGCAGGTCCTCTTCTCTTCAGCTCCAGGCACTTCTACTGCTAGTAACCATGTTAAAGCTGTACTCTCTAATCTACATGAGGGTACAACACTGAGGTATATGGAGGAATCTGTGAAACCGCAGGATCCTCCATAAAGAGAGTTTGATTCCAACAATTGTCATTTGTGACGGCTACTGGGATTGGACAAAGATGTGCAAGAGGAGTTACGCCATTTGCCAACTTTTGTCAACCTCAGGCTTTACCATAAATCAAAATAGTCCCTAATTTGTCTTATGATATCTTTGGATTGTGTTGGAATTTATATTTATTATATATATATAATATTATATATTTATAATTTGTATCCTTATGAAAGACTGAAAATTGACAGACCGATTTAAAAGTAGTTTTACTTGTAGATTATTTTCTTATTTGTGATACAGCTCTTGAGCCTAAGGATCCCAATCTCAGGAAATTATGCACATTTTCACACAACCATCCTTACAAGGTCAGTCCTCTTTGATAAATAACACCCAAGTGCGGAGCAAGCAAGCACCACAGCAGACCAAAGTTTCTGGTAACAAATTTGCACAGAAGCATTCCGACAGTGGTTCAAACTGAGGTGATCAATTCAGTACTCTAAGAACAGCAAAAAACCTGCCTGTCATATGAGTGGTCAGTAACCTATTAATGGCTGTTTTACATCAACCTGAAGTGCAACTGTTCAATATACTTTTAATTCGCATTTCCCATCGAAAAATAAAATATAGAGGCATAGCTACTAATACTTGTAATCACACTGTAGAGTGAAAGCAACAATTTGGCCTCCCTACACACTGCCTTTAGAGAGATTTAATTTATAAAATACATATATGGCACAGTGAGTTTATTTCAGAATTTCTTATCTTACACTTTGTTTATAACATAATTAAGCCCACAGTAGCCTCACGAATGTGATTAAATTCAAATGACAGAGCAAGAGATAAAAAACTTCTAAAGTAAACACAATGCGCTGTTAGATTTGATTGAAAATGAAACCATTTTTGTTCATGTAGGCTGTGTGAGTCACAGCCAGAGGATGTGAGGCAAAGGCTGCATAAACAGAAACAAAAGTGATTTAAAGTTACACTATGAAATCAAACCAACTTTAGCTTAATAAAGCAATTTGGGTGTACAGATCATGTACATGCAGTCTCACTGCTCAATTCTCTACAATTTAGGAGATAAATCACTTTTGTTTCTATGTATGCATCCCTACTCACATAATTTCTTCTGGCTGTGACTCACACAACCTGCATGAAATACATAGTTTCATTTTTCAATCAGATGTACATTTTTGTTTGCTGTTTTTATCTCAGGTGCATGATCTATGCACCAAAAGTGCATCATTAAGACAAAGTTATATTGCACAAAAGTATACAAAAAGTATAACAAAAAGGAGAAACTTTAACTTTAAAGGTGCCCACCCAGACGAATAAAGGTATAAATAACCTATACAATAAATAATAGATACTAAAATACAACCTGGTAATAATAAAAATAATAATAATACTTAAAAAAGAAAGAAAAACAGAAATAGTGTAATACAGCATATGGTGGAAACATTCACTTATGGTGGAGACATGCAGTTTATCTTATCCTGTATGTAAGTACAATCAGTATTTAAACATATTTTTATACTTTACAATAGTGCACTATTGCTGCTTTTTTAGAATTTTCCAACTACCAGTTCATTACTGGAAGAGGATCAATACTTTGGGGGAGATAAGCCTACTATTGAATACCATCTTGTGAGCGCTCTATTTCCCTCCTTCCCTCCCCCCACTTTTTTTTTTAACTGTAGCGGGATTACACAATTTCTAATTTATCTTTCTTTTTTTTAGGTTTTATTGTTAATATTATTATTATTATTATTATCAGGTTGTATTTCATTATATATTATTCATTGTATAGGTTATTTAAACATGTATTCACCTGGGTGTGCAGGTTTAAAGTAAAAGTTTTCCTTTTTTGTTATATTTTTTGTATACTTTTGTGTATTATATATTTTTTAGGTGTTGGTGAGACACTTTTTAGGTGATCCTTTTTACTCAGTTTTATGTATATATATATATATATATATACATATATATACATATATATATATATATATATATATATATATATATAATTTTTGTATTAAGCTAAAGTTGTTTGGTGCTTAGAGTATTCCTTTAGCTGTTTTTGGTTTGTCTTAGACATCTTTATAAGAGCTCTGACATGTTCTTCCTCACTGTGATGTAGTGACATACTGAATATTATTATATATTTGGCATATTCATACAGTAAGTAGGAGGATTAAAAACACATGGGGGAGGAACAAAAAAATAATCTGTTTCTCTTGTTCATTTAAAAAATGTGTCCTGGTTATGTCAAGACTGAACTAGATTTTTTAAAACTTTTAACATACATTTTAAAGAAAAAATAAAGCATCACAAAACATGTTAATACAAGTTATTTGCGATTTCAATGTTAAATTAAATTGAGTTCTCTTTAATTTATAATTGCATTATAACTTTTTAGAGAGATTTTTTAATGAGTTTATATTGTTTATATTTTATTAAAATTATTATAAAGAAAGAAAATAAAGGTTCAGTAATTAAGATAATTTTATTACCTGTGAAAATGCACAGTTGGATGTGGAGAAATGTTGATTTTAAAATATAGTCAGATTTTCTATAGCTGCAAGAATTTTTTTTTTTTAATTATTCTTAAAATTTAATTTCTACAAAGCCATGTGTATGAAATTGGCTGCTTTCTATTTTTATCTCTACAGGTGGAAGTTTTGAGTGGGATGATGATTTCCCACTAATGACACAAAACTCCTCGTTTATTGCCGCCATGGCAACCGAGGCGGCTGCACTGAAGTCACAAATAAGTCCCACCTCACCAACACCTTCTACTTCACTTCAAGGCAAGCGAGGAGAAGCTAGCCTGATGGACACACTCAGGTTTACTCGCTTCACTGTCTCTCCTGCTGTGGATCCTCATCTTCCAATGTGTGAGTCTGAAGTAGCAGCAACTACAGGTGAGCGCCAAATGAGTATCCTCAAAGTGTATTCTCTGTGTACATCTCAATTTTTTAGACATAGTAGAGTTTTTGTAATATTCACTCATCAATTCTTTTGTTGATCACTTTGTAACCTCATGTTTCTGTTCTTTGCTGATATTGGTGGAGCCTTGCATGGTCGCCTGCATCTAATTCAGGATTTCAGGCATTGTTCATTTAGTGTTCCAACATTTCAAATACTTTAAGAGTCAATATTTAAATATTTGTGGAGTGATTCACAAAAACTAAAGTAGTTTTGGAATACATTTGCAGTGATTCACCAAATGTAGACTACTTGTTGTGTTGCACGTGTTGGGTTTTTTGAACCCACATGTGAAAAAAGGTTTGCATGGTAACTAATGTAATTAGGTGGGTGGATTGTCCTCAATAAAATCAAGAGTGTTATGCAAGGCCGGACTGGGAAGAAAATTTGGCCCGGCAATTTTTAATTACAGCGGCCCACTACAAAGGGGGCGGGGCAAGATAGGGTCTGTTTTGTCATCACCAATGACAAGCATGTGTGTCTGTGTAAGGGGTGTAGTGTGTGCCTAAGGGTGCTATGTGGGTATGGGTGCTGTGTGTGTGATTGGGTGCTGTGTTTGTGTGAGGGTGCTATGTGCATGTGAGGAAGCTGTGTTTGTCAGCAGTGCAGTGTGTGTGTGTGTGTGTGTGTGAGGGTGCTGTAAGTGTTAGGGGTGCAGTGTGTGTGTGCTGTGAGTGTCAGGGTTGCAGTGTGTGTGAGTGTGTGAGTGAGGGTGCTGTGAGTGTCAGGGGTGCAGTTTATGTGAGTGTGTGAGTGTCAGGGGTGCAGTGTGTGCGTGTGTGAGTGAGGGTGCTGTGAGTGTCAGGGGTGCAGTGTGTGTGAGTGTGTGTATGAGGGTGCTGTGAGTGTCAGGGGTGCAGTTTGTGTGAGTGTGTGAGTGAGGGTGCTGTGAGTGTCAGGGGTGCAGTTTATGTGAGTGTGTGAGTGAGGGTGCAGTGTGTGTGAGTGTGTGGGTGAGTGAGGGTGCTGTGAGTGTCAGGGGTGCAGTGTGTGTGTGTGAGTGAGGGTGCTGTGAGTGTCAGGGGTGCAGTTTATGTGAGCGTGTGAGTGAGGGTGCTGTGAGTGTCAGGGGTGCAGTGTGTGTGTGTGAATGAGGGTGCTGTGAGTGTTAGGGGTGTCTGTGAGGCTGATGTGACTTGGGTGATTTCCCCCCTCCCTGCTTACCTTATGCCTGTGAGGGGGGATCCTGCTGCTGCCGCCATCCATCCCTGGTGGTCTTAGTGGTGAGTGAACTCTAGCCTGTAAGGCTAGAGTTCACTCTCGCGAGACCCGGAGCATTACCATGGCAACGGTCCGAATCTCACGAAAGGAACCCAGCGGAGCTGCACATTAGAGCTCCGCCAGGTTCCTCTCCTGGTTCCCTCATCCTCTCCCTGCCGGTGGCCGCAGTATACTGTATGTGGGCCAGTGATTGAGACCTTGGCCAAAAATATTAAAATTTAATACTTTCCATGTGGAAATATGGAGACCTCTCAGAGGATATTCAAGGAACAGGTCAGGTTTAGCAAATAAAGAACCACCATAGGGTGCAGGGATCATGTCTGCTCCATCATTTACTCATAAAAGTGCCAGAGACAAAATGTGGGTAGGGAGTAATCAGCATAAAGTCCTTAATGAACATAAGGTAGCGGTTGGAGACAAACACTTGGCCTTCAGTATATCATAGGGTGGAAAGTTGAGGGCATGCATTTTAAAGGTTGTATTTTTCTGTCCAGTTCTTATATTTTATTTTGTAATTTATGTGCAAATTACAAAAAACTTCTACAACTATTGTTAATCTAGTAATTAAGAGCTAAATGTATTAACTTGCATTTTACCTTTTAAGTATTACTGTATCTACACATTCCTGCATCGTCCAAACCCACCTGTGTCATTCTGGTATAAATTTTCATGTTGAACCCTGCCTTATGGCATCAATTCTTAATGAGTCATCTGTTAGTCCAAACAATGACGTAGGATCTATGGAGTCACCTCTCTTTCAATGCTCACAGATGTTCTGCTGCAGAGCTTGCTGTGGTATCTCGAGTACCCAATAAGTCGTTCATGTTTATAGTGGTATTTTTGTATTTTGTCCTAGATTTGTCTTGACTACCCTGCTACTTGGTATTGTTTGACCTGGCTATGTCCTTGAACTCAGACTTTGACTATTTTCCTGTTTGTTATTGCATTAAGCTAGTGATGCACAGTTCTTTTTAGATTAAATGTGCTAGATTCGATTTATCTGTTCACTCTGTGTCTAAAACAACTAAACTCAGTAACTAGTAGGGATATCCACATACTTTTGGCCATATAGTGTATTTCCTAAAAAAAATTACTTTAGTTCAGTCCAGATGCCCCTGTGGCTTCAAATCTAAGTAGACCCATCGGCCATTGTCTTTCTGACAGCCATCTACTGATAAGATCCCACTCTTCGACTGAACATTATTTTCTTTTGACAATGAGACATAGATTTCTGTATTATTCTGTGTCATTGACTTTTTATGTAAGTAGAAAAGTCTATTCTTGTATTATCAAAGAAGCTTAAATATTACAGAATATTTTAACACATCCATTGCAGAATGACAGAATAATATATTTTCAGTGGTGGGTAGTTCATGAAATATGACTTTGAAACTTACTATGAATTGCCCTTACTGATAAGAATCTAGCTGATTTGATAACAATCTAATAAATTGCATACGGAAAACATTGTGTATGGGTAGTGGATTGTGAGTCTCAGGTTTTACAGATAGAAAAACATATATTAAAAAAACAAGTCCTGCGCTCAAACTCTGACTACTCTTGGGCCTCAGCAACGACCATAGTACACATCAGCCCCAATACATACAGTAAGAACCAAAGAAAAAAAGTTACCTGCGTTCTCTCCCAAATCCCTATGTATATTTAAACAAATGGAGGTTATTTAGTTACTCCAATACCCCCGCCTGCCAACGTCAAGGTAAACCTCTTAGGCGGGTTCTACACTAACCATTCACCTTGGTTCCTTGAGCTTCTAGCAAAGATATCTCTAATGAGACAGAGGGGTATTTTTTATATCCACCCCTACATACTCATTAACCCTTAATAGGAAACACATGGGATGGGCAGCAGCATTGTAACCGAGCTGTGTGATACAAAAGTGAATCCAAATACAAAAAACAAGTCCTGTGCTTAAACTCCCACTACTCTTGGGTGGCAGCAACGACCATAGTACACATCCGCCCCAATACATACAGTAAAAAAACAAACAGTTACCTGCTCTCTCTCCTCAATCCCTATGTATATTTAAACAAATGGAGCTTATTTAGTTACGCCAATAAGAATAATATATATATATATAAAAGCTCAGTTGACATGTAAAAACACAGGTTAGTCAAGAACGTCCCAGGAAGCCAGGGTTCATACAACCATTTCCAATACAGTGTAAGCTTTTCTTTTGACAAAACGTGAGTATTGTGACTTTCCTATGGAAAGCTTTTTTAATGAGCATGAACATGATACATGGTGGGCAGCACATGATACAGACACCTGTTGGTTGCCACTGAATGGCTACTGCTCAATTTTTTGTCTTCTCTTTAAAAAACAAATGCATAGGCAAATCCTTACTTTTAATTAGAGTATTAACAACTTATTTAGCCTCACCCAAAAGATATTGTTGAATTGAAGTTGGCTCATTTAGAATAATATGTGCACCATATGTCCCAATATACGCAAACATATGATCTTTATATTCTATCTACACATACTGGCTGAGTAGTGCTCACTGCTCTGACTTTGTAGTTGATACACTTATTTTAAAGTAGTGGATGTCTTTAAAAAGATTTGAAGGAACGCTCCAAGCACTATAACAACTACAGCGACAGAAGAGGGTCTATGGAAGAGCTAGATTGTTATGCCAAAGGTGAATAAAGGAGCTGTGTCAAGTCAACCACTGTAGTGATTATGGTGCTAGGAGTGCCCTGGTGCCTCCAATATTGCAAGTAGTCAAGCCATTTTTTTATGTTTTGAGTACCAAAAGTTTATAAGCAAGAATGTTTGTTAGTTCTGGTGAGCTAAGCCAAATACTGCTCCAGAACTTCTGGCTCTCCAGCTTTGGCAGTGGAGATGTGGAACGGAACCCAGGTAAGAAGTCAATCAATTCAAAAATCGTTTGGCAACTTACATTGGGTTCTTGAAGTGTTCCTTTAACAATGTTTAACAATGTATTATTCATTGAACGCTGCTAAGAATATAATATTGTATCTCTTTTTTTAGGTGCTGTTGAGAACTGAAGGTGTTGACATTCCCATTGCAAAGACCATGCAAGTACTTCAGGAACCACATGACCAGCACCACCTTGTTCTTCTATCTTCCCCAAATTCCCTTCTTTGCTTGGTCAACTTTCAGCCACAGCATTGATATGTGAAAAGGTAGATTGCTGAAGGATCCAAAAGGCTCAGGGAGACATACTCTGGCAAAAGAATGGGGTCAAAAGTGAGGTTTTCGATTTCCATATGATTATTGCCAGCAGAGGAATTTCACATCAAATATTCTGGATACATATTTCCATCCTATTGACTGGGATGTTTTTCTTATTCTACTTGTGCCAAAATTGTTCCAATGTATTTGATGCTCAGTTCCAGCAATGGGTTTAGAAATGTGTGTTGATATCATGAATCCCTATTGCTATTAGAGTCTCACTGTCTGCAATAATAGTATGTTTATTTAATAAAAACACGTGTCATAACATCATGACAAACTGACTTTATAGTACCAACTGATAGAGAGCAAATCATGTTTATCTGTTGTCAGGACAACAAGAGAAAAAATGAAATATTAAAAGGATATTCTACATGCAACTTTTTAAAGTTATGAGTTCCCTGAACAAGATAGGATGAAACGATGCTTCACTTTAAGTCTAACTAGGTCATGCCATATTTTATCAACGATTAAGCTAAGTAAATTTGTTGGTAGTCCCAAATGAGATTTTCTTGTAACAAAGCTTTGGAATTAATTTGTTTCTTCGACTAAGCACGAGCCCCAAAGCATATTCACAAAGGCAATTTCTAAACTCTGGAATGCCTCCTAGTTTTTTTTTTATCCATTCCAATATTTTCAGAGCATTTTAAACATTACTGACTGCAGAATAAAATTTAGCAATGAGAACATTACAATCCTTAACAGGTTATATTTAGACACATAACAAAAAAGCTCAGTAGCAGTTTCTACTCCCTTGTAAAAAAAAGTCAGGAGGGTTAAAGATACAATATATACATACAGAACACTACGTCTTAATCGTCAGAGAGACACAATAATAACTAAAAGTAAAATTGCCAAAACAAAATGACTGTGAAAACAAAAATGTATTAAACAGATGTTTATGGCGAAACAGATTGTTCATATGTAGAGACTGGCTGCACTTGCGCAATGACATTTGTTTCCAAAAACAGATGTAATTGGTAAAAGAGACTTGTAAGACGCAGGTGTAGGGGGTGTATTTTTATACCCATTTTAAGATACGTCAAATTAAATTTGTGCTTATAAGAGGAAAAAATAAATAAAAGTAAGAAAAAAAATGGCATATGGCATTTCACTCTGCATCGGTTATGTAGGGCGGTGCTTTATTGCACATATAGAATACGTAATAGAGAACTATGATATAAGTATAAAATGAATAAGGGAGAACCAAGCATCTCCTTTAGAAATATATAAGGCAGAGGTGGTTAAAATAAAGATCACATGATCTACTTTCTGGCTCTAGTGATATAAGATATCATTGTGTATGACTGGGTATGTGTTACCCCATTGTGGGTATAAGTTTAATGTTCGTTAATTCCCTGCTGTTGCTTGTTTTTTCCTACACAATAAATGCAGAATGTAAACCTGTTGCTGGTGATGAGCTGGTTTACGAGTAGTGCCAAATGAACCCATTGGGGAGCCTTATTGGATTAAGCAATTAAATAGTTTGTTACACAGAAATGTTATGAATGCAAATGGTAACGTGAACTGGCATTTGTGACACAGACTGCAATTATCAGTGTTTGCACTGGGGATAAATGAAGATATACCCACAAAGACGTACATTAACTGATTTTTTTTCAGTTTGGAGTTTTACTGTGAAAAACAAAAAACAAACAAAAAACATTTATACTTCAGTATGATAGCAACCACGTGGAGACACTGCTAAAGACTGGGTGCCCGTGAATTTTTCTGCCAGTGATTTTACAGATTTTGCTATCAGTAAGTATATATTTACAATCGGATTTGACAGCATTACACAAGGAAAGAGCGTATAAAAGTATATGAACTGGTTAAGGCATTTTTAGTAGAATCACTTGTCAGGAATCTTTGGATTTAAAGAACTTAGAAAAAAACCTGAATGAGTTTAAAAAAAATATTTCTTTTTTAAATGCTCAAAAAGAGTCTAAATATCAGCTGGACACATACTTTGGGAATTTACTACAGTATAGACAGGAGGCAAAAACCTGTACATTTTGAGTAAGTTCAACTCTGTCACATGTTTTATAAAGTTACATCAACAACAAAGACTGCAAAAGAACATGGTGAATTTATTTTTTGAAAAACAATTCAATGGAATTTTGGTTTCCGATCAACTTCTGTTGGACATTCAATGTTGACTCCAACTTATCGTTTTCCTCTTTATACCAGATGTTGACCCAGAATCCAGCTTTATCTTGGTTCCATGAGTCCAGCAACTCCCTTCATTGACTCCAGATAAGATTCAAAGACTTAAAGGCATCACCAGATTCTAGGCTTCATGAATGTGTGTTTGTACGTTTATTACAATTTTTATTTATTATCATCCATATTTTATATTTTATTTAAGATCAAATAGAGGCCCATGAAATGTAACTGATTTTAAGCAGAAAGCTCTGTCTTCTAACCTTCGTGTAACAGAAGCAGTACTAGATTGCGTAAATCTAAAATAAAAATAAAAGAGGAGACTTATCTGTGATACTCAAGTTGCCTAAATGATGGTAATTTGGGAATAATTTTAAAAAATGGTGAATAAACAGCATTTGCTACAATTTATATGTATTACCATGATTGTGTGTTAGTCATAATTGTCTTCAATTTCCAACTTCTTATTGGTTATGTTCTTAGCTACACAGCATTTTAAAACACAAGAAATGAGATGGGAATTGGACAAAAGGGGTTATTCAATAAAAAAAATTCTATGGATCTTAAAACCAAACTAAAATGTAAGCAAAAATATCTGATTCTGAAAAAATACAACTCTGCTAAAATCACATTTGGCTATTTTATCCTATTTTTTTGCAATTTAGTTTACAATTCACTTCAATTAAGCTTTTAGTTCCAGTTCAGCAACAGACAAGATAGATAGGCAGAAATGCAGACAAATAGGCAGACAGACAGACAAATAGGCAGACAGATCAAAATACATAGAGACAGATAGGCAGGCAGGCCGACAGTAAGACAGACAGACAAGTAGGCAGACAGGCAGACAGACAGGTCTTCTCTTATTCGAACTTATAACATGCCTTGTTTTTTTTTCTTTTAATTATATGGCTGCATGTTCCTCTATCTACTTTTAATACAATACACCTGTAAAAAAAAATTCCCCCTCTCCCTCTATTTCACTCTTTCTTACTTTTGCTTGCTTTGTTTCTAAACTACTAGATGCACAGCTTTATTACATTATTTACATCTTACTCATATGTTGATTGCCAGACCTGCTATTGCATACCCCAACTGAACCTCCAATTACCCAACCTAGGTTCGATGGCAGACTTGTATGTAGTACTTATGACAGTAGAAAGACATTTTGCAAAACATTAATTGATTTATCAAGTTGCCCTTGTTCTGTTGATGTGTTAGATTTTCAGAGTGTTTTATTTTCTGAAACATTATGGATACAAAGTGTACATAGAATTTGGGTAAATTAAATTTGTATACATACTGTATATATGTATGTGCATATAATGATGTTATTCTACACCAAGCATGTCAAACTCGCGGGCCCCACAAGGACCATCTTTGCGGCCCGGCGAGCCGCGAGTGCATGTTCAGTGTTATAGCAGAGTAGGCACCTGCTTTCCCCATATTGCAGGCGCCTACTCTGCTAACACTTACCTGGCCGGGGAGGAGGGCCAGCAAGGGGGCTCAGTGTTCCTGCTCCTTACTGCTCCCTCGCGCGCGCCGACTGAAGTGAAACCAGGCGCCGGAATATGATGTCATATTCCGGCACCCGGCATCACTAAACTGCGCGTGGGAGCAGTGAAGAGCAGAAAGGAGATGGAGATGCCTCTCATCGGCTCCATATGGTAGGGAGCAATAAAGAAAAGTATGTGTGTGTGAGTGAGTGTGTCTGTCAGTTAGTGTGTGTGTCTGTGTCAGTGTGTGTATGTGTGTGTCTGTCAGTGAGTATATGTGTGTGTCTGTATGTGTGTGTCTGTCTGTCAGTGAGTATGTGTGTGTGTCTGTCAGTGTGTCTGTATGTGTGTCTGACTGTCAGTGAGCGTGTCTGTGTGTGTATGTGTCTGTGTGTGTGTGTGTCTGTCAGCAAGTATGTGTGTGTCTCTCAGTATGTGTGTGTGTCTGTATGTGTGTGTCTGTCTGTCTGTGAGTATGTGTGTGTTTCTGTGAGTATGTACGTGTGTGTGTCTGTCAGTAAGTATATGAGTTTAAAAATACACATTAATGATACAATAATATGTAAACGTCAAAACCTGTTACATGATTTCAAAGGGAATGTGACCTTTTTGATGGTGACAGTTTTTTTGTACCTTACTGATGTAGAAGTGAAAGAACAAGCTTTACTGAGGTGATGTGTGTAGAAACACACTTATCTACAATGCACTTCTGGGTAACTGCTGTAACAATCTATCTATGATGGCATTGACAGACATATTTGCTAGACATTAGTCCCTTGATCCAATGCTTTCAGCATATGTCATCAAGAGACTTAATTAATTTGCATCAACTGCCAAGCTATGCCAGGACAACACTGCATATTAAACAAAAATGTGCATTCGGGGGGAGTGCGCAAATAATAGCTTTCATTTTAGTTAGCTATTAGCATGTGCAATTAAAATGAAATTATAAATATCTTGTACTGATTCTTAAGGTATAAATGCAGTGAAAAAGTAGACATTGCACTGGTTGATTCTTGCTTAAAGAGCTTGATAGACATGTTACATATGTTTGGTATCTCAAGGTAAGTGTCCTTAATTACAAATAACAACCCCAGGTAGCATTGCCTGATATACATTTAATTGAAATTGAAAACCATTCTGATTGCGGCTTCCATGATAAATGAGAATCATGCGAATTGTAGTTTGCAATAGCTGGAGTGGTTAAGCTTTGCTGTACTAGCTGAACTTGATGTTGTAGCTGAGCACGTGAGATACTGTGCAAGTCTCGAGGAGGTGAATTGAGAACTACCTCTATTAGCTATCAGGTTTAGTCCACTGCAATATTTTAACTGTTTAAGTCTATAATCAATGGAATTTTGGATTTTTCCCATTTTGAAGCATACATTTATAGTTAGCATTTCCTAATAAAACTACCTACAGTGAGGGGAAAAAAGTATTTGACCCCCTGTTGATTTTGAACATTTGTCTACTAACAAAGAAATGATCAGTCTATAATTTTAATGGTAGGTGTACAGGGCCGGCGCTTCCTATAAGGCGAACTAGGCAGCCGCCTAGGGCGCCATATAGGAGGGGGCGCCCTGCGCCCCCATCGCCGGCCCTTTAAATTCTGCAACCGCCTGAGCGCTCTATAGAGAGCGCTCAGGCGGCTGCCGCACTGCCTCACCTCCCCTGCCCTGCTGTAGCGTGGCCGAGCTCCTTTCCGGTCCCGCGACCCGGCGGGACTGAAAGGAAGTGCACACGCAGTGTGCACTTCCTGTCAGTCCC